GCCAGTTTGAAACTGCATTAGATAACACCAAGTTGGGACGGTAGACAAACCTGCATTTTTTTTCTCTTGAATTTTCTTGAAAGAAAGCTGAAGAAGTCAGTTTCCATATAAACTGTCATCCTTTGACCAGGTCTTGACATTTTGTGTTTTAGACAGCTCTTTTTTTATTTGCCAGAAACACAATAATAACAGTATTCCAAAACTGATCTCTCTAAAAGTATTCCTTCCCTCAGGACTTAATGCTGTTTATCAGCAGTATATTTCATTTTCATACAGAGACTTGCAAAACGATACTACAGATGTCCAATTTTCCACTGAGACGTTGCCAATCCCACTGAACTGAGTTTGATGTCCAGGTCAAGACAAATCTTGGTCTCGTGCCAAGGGTTCAGAAAGCCCATTGGCCAGCATTCTGCTAGATTTTCATGAAGAGGCCCAACCTGACAGATCCTAGCAGACTTCCAGTAAAAAGATAGACGGTCACTGACCAGGGGAGCAAAGAAGCACCAGCCCAACCGCAAAGTCTATCATGTTCTGGAAAGGCCTCCAGAACAAGCAAGAGAGAGGAGAGGCCTCCACCCAAAAGCCTCATTTGTATGCAGCTGCTGATGGTAACCAACAAACACCAACCAGCCTGGAAAACAAAAATTGTTCCAGACTGTTGAGCTCAAGCTTAAAATGTTCCAAAAACAGATCCCCAAATCTCCTTCTGGCCAGTCCTGATTATTCTCTCCAGAGCTTTAGGTGCCACCTTCCCCAACATGATAGTATGTTAGCACTGTGATCAGTGGTGGGTTTCAAAATTTTTTACTACCGGTTCTGTGGGCATGGCTTGGTGGGCGTGGCAGGGGAAGGATACTGTAAAATCTCCATTCCCTCCCTACTCCAGGGGAAGGTTATTGCAAAATCCCTATTTCCTCCCAATCAGCTGGAACTTGGGAGGCAGAAAATAGATGGAGATAGGGCCAGTCAGAATTTTTATTACTGGTTCTCCCAACTACTCAAAATTTCCACTACCGGTTCTCCAGAACTGGTCAGAACCTGCTGAAACCCACCTCTGGCTGTGATACACAAAATTCCCATGGGGGACATATTAAATGCTCAAGGTTGACTCAGCCTTCCATCCTTTCTAAGGTAGGTAAATTGAGGACCCAGTTGTGGGGGCAATAAGCTGACTTTGTATAAATATACAAAAGGATGAAGGCTATTGCTGAGCACATTGTAAGCCGCCCTGAGTCTCCGGAGAAGGGCGGCATATAAATCAAATTAAAAAATAAAATAAAAATAAATGGAGTTTCTGAGAACTGGAAAGCAGAAGGTTGAGTATATGAGAGAATCTGTTCTGAATGAGATGCATTAATGGAACCAATAAATTGTTTTAATATGTTCCAATTTGGAAGTTTAGTGACGAAGCAGAAAAATGTATTGCACTAAATACCTTGTAAAAATATATACTTGTGTTCCAAATTAAATAAAAAAGCAAAGATAGAAAAGATATTAGGAATGAATTCAGCCATTAGGCAAGTCTGAGGCACAGCAGCAGAATGAAAAGGCATTCAGGATGTTTTAAATCTTTATAGATTATTATAATGAGTTCTTGATTGGTTGGCCACATTCGTGTAATTTTTTAGCTATGCAAATGTTTTGCTATTGCTATCTTCTGGGGTGTTTTGGATGGTCCTCCGTTCAAGTATTAGCCAAGTTTGACACTGCAGAGCTTCCAAGCTTAAAGTGGGCCAGGAGCTGCTATCATTCATTTCTCTCATTTATGTGAGATACTGAAATGTTTCTCAGCATTACAGCTCCCTCTGCCGATAAAAGCGAAACACTACAACTTTCAAAAAAATGTAGTAGTGGAAAGTGGAATTTTGTTAGCTTTGGGGATGGGAGGTTTTAAGAGGCAAAGTTTTTATCTATAAACAATACAAAAAGATAACAAAAAAACCAATCTAGTTTATGAGACTTGGTATTCAAATATGTGGGGTGCCACAAGGGTCGGTCCTCTCGCCCCTTCTGTTCAACATTTATGTAAAGCCGTTGGGCGAGATCATCGGTGGTTTCGGGGTGAAGTACCATCAGTACGCTGATGATACTCAGCTGTACATCTTCATCCCGGACCACCCCAACGATGCCCTTGAAGTGATGTCCCGGTGCCTGGAGGCCGTGCGGATCTGGATGGGGAGAAACAGGCTCAGGCTCAACCCATCCAAGACCGAGTGGCTGTGGTTTCTGATGTCCCAATATAGTCAGTTGGTGCCATCACTGACAATTGGGGGCGAATCGCTGGCCCCCACGGAGAGGGCTTGCAACTTGGGCGTCCTCCTGGATTCACGGCTGTCTTTAGAAGAGCACTTGACGGCCGTGACCAGGAGGATTTTTCATCAGGTTCGCCTGATTCGCCAGTTGCGTCCCTTTCTGGATCAGGACTCCTTACACACGATCACTCATGCCCTCGTCACTTCCCGCCTGGACTACTGCAATGCTCTCTACATGGGGCTCCCCTTGAGGAGCACCCAGAGGCTCCAACGAGCGCAGAGTGCGGCCGTGCAGGTGGTTATGGGAGTGACATGGCATTCACATGTAGCGCTTCCTGCGCGAGCTGCACTGGCTCCCGGTGGTCTTCCATGTGCGCTTCAAGGTCTTGGTTACCACCTTTAGAGCGCTCCATGGCTTAGGACTTGGTTACCTACGGGACCGCCTGCTGCCACCAGTAGCCTCCCACCGGCCGATACGCGCTCATAGAGAGGGGCTCCTCCAGGTGCTGTCGGCCAAACAATGTCGACTGGCGGCCCCCAGGGGGAGAGCCTTCTCTGTGGGGGCACCTACCATCTGGAATGAGCTCCCCCCGGAGATACGGAGGATCCCGGATCTACGCACCTTCCGCTGCGCTCTCAAGACCTTTTTATTCCATCAGGCTGGCCTGGCCTAATTTTTTCCCCTTTTTAAAATGCAAATTTTAATTCATTCTTAATTTATTGGGGCGTTTTAAATCTGTCTTTGGCCAAATTGTTTAATTCCATTTTATTGAGTTTTAAATTTTGTATTTATGTTTTTTATCTTGTGGCTGTTCACCGCCCTGAGTCCTTCGGGAGTAGGGCGGTATACAAATCAAATAAACTATAACTATAAATGAGTAATCAGATTCAAATCTCTATAAGGATTAAGGTATCTAATTCATCCCTTACATTCCTCACCTTGAAAAATGGGCCCAAATGTTTCAGCCTCATGTATTTTGGGACAGTGTGGGTTGCATCGCAACTGGGTCACTCTTAAAAGTTCAGATGGAATCTATTTTTGTGCAGGTTTGTGACTTTCAAGATGCAATCCCAGCAGAGAATTTTTCTTTTCTTTCTTCTGTGAGACAATCTTTGGAAGACCTGAGCAGCTACAGCTACATTAAATAAGTTTTCACTCTCACGTTGCAACGTTTCTGATCCGACAAAAGACCAAACTCCACCTCACCCAAGCCACCCAAGTGTCCAAGTCTTTAAACAGGTTATGGAGATCTCAGCTATTGATTCAGACTGAAATTTATTTCTTTAAACGTTTCCCGTCCAGTCGTGTCCAACTCTAGGGAGCAGTGCTCATCTCTGTTTCTTAGCCAAGGGAGCTAGTGTTGTCCGAAGACATTTCTGTAGTCATATGGCCACCATGACTATGCACCGAGGTGCATGGAACACTGTTATCTTCCCACTATTATCTACTTGCATTTGCATGCTTTCATGGGGCAAGTAACTGAAGCTCATCCCATTGCGTGGCACACAGGGTGTTAAACCCAGGGTGCCAGCTTTCCAGCTGACAAGCTCAGTGTCTTTAATGCTGAGCCATCGCACCCTCTTTTATTTCTTTAGCTCCAGCCAAATATAAATACAAATAAATCAAAATCAATCATTCACAATCTAATATATACAAACTTACCATCACTTTACATACAAATTATTTCACAAAACAAGTAGAAAATGTTTAGTTATCAATTAAAATAATCAGAATAAGATTCTCTAGAGACAAATCTATGCTTAATCTAAATCTAAATACATATTTAACTGTTGTTGTCTATTGATAGCTACTTTTCTGAGAATAGTTATGTGGGACTATTGCAGGAAGCAAAACAAATGTGATTTGTAGGCATGAGATTGTTAGCTGGATGGATGCAACAGAAAGCTATCCAAAACTTCCTTTGATCCAAATGAATTCATTAAAATTAATCCAATTGCAAAAATTCAAAACTTTAATCTAAAATCTAAAATGTTTCACTGTATTCCTGGAGAGTACTAATTTTCCTAACTTCACTGATGCCAAGGGAAAAAAATAGAGTTGAGATCTGGGGCAGAGTGATTGTCTCAAGTCCAATTACTATTACTATAATTTTTGGTTTAGTCTATTTTTTCATAATTGTTATTCTATGCATCAAAGCCACCAAGCAACGAGATTGCAACTGAATAAAATTAGAAGCCTAATAGAGTATTAATTCCTACTGTGTGTCAAAGTAGATGACTAGAATTGAGTCAGCTATAGTATTAATGCTGGTTTTTGCTTTTGGCTATCACCAGCATACTTTCATATTCATATGTAATGAAAAGATATCTAAAAGTAGTCCCATTTATCCCAATTCAATATCTTGAAATTACCTCCTTCAACACCTCTGAGAAAGGTTGGTACTGTTCAGAGAAGGCAAGAAAGTTATGCAACTGAACAGATGGTCGCTTGAAATTTGCCAGGTAAGCAATCAATCTCTCATCTCCCCTATCTCTCTGCAGGCTTACATGCGTGGTTGCTTAAACAGATTTTAAAACGTTCAAGCCCATGTCTTATGATTTAAAAGATAGGAAAACAGGAAAACAGGGAATGCATTATTTAAGGGGAATAATATGAATATCATAATAGCACAATTCTGCCAATACATGCAGAGAAACATTGCAGATCATAATTTGTCTATGTGCCTCAGAAATGTAAGAAATGTAAAATTTTATCTAATTTTTTTTAAAAACCGTAGACAGTCATAGGTTTAAATAATTTATGTGTCAGTTAGAACAAGATTCAGGTGAAGACAGGTATATACAGATGGTTGAATCCTTCAGAACAAAATCACTGAACTTGGGAAACTGTCTGGATGACTTAGTGAGAAAATAATAGCAATCTCAGCAATGAACATTTATGTAAGCGTAGCAACAGCTCAACAATTTAGTTGCAGGATATAACCCAAAACCAACAACATAGTACATTAAAAACAAAAAAAAATACACATCCTCTAATTGGTTAAACGTGTCATATTATTCAGAAGAATGCTTTGAGTCACCTCTTTAAAATTATTTGTTGCAGAAAAGTTGATATTTCCTGAAGTTTAAAGTATTAATTTCTCCCACTTTGTTGATGCTCTCACTTTCCCAAAGTCAATGAGAACAAGGAAGGAAACCCTTGTTTCAAAGCAAAAAGAAAGGAAAAGGTCCCAGATTGCATTGAAATCCTGATCATATTAGTCTCCAGAATCAAAGTAGTCATTTTACAAGCATGTCACAGTGTACAATGAACACAGTAAAAGATTATCACTCTTATAAAGCCCAAATGGTTAGAAGCCTAAAGAAACCACCTTTTAAAAATACTGAACTTCCTGGACTCTTTACCCTAGGTCTTACCTTCCAAAAATAGTATTAAACAGCCAGACCACCTGAGACAATACAACAAACTGGGTATGATGCTGTGTTAGGAACTATAGCCAACTATTTAGCTTGCTTTTTTATATATAAACATTTGTCAACTATCTAGGCTAATATTAATCAACGAGATTATGCTATTTGCAACTCTTTAAAAATGAATGATTTTATAAGAGAAGGAGAACAGCAATGTTGAGCCAAATTTTGTGTAAAGTCTCAGAAGGAAACAAACTATATTTGCAATGGAAGTCTGCCAAGTTATTACTGAAAATGTAATATTCAGCAATTTCAAACTGCTGAAGATCAGTTACATTCTGTGAAATCAATGATTAAATACATGTTTTTGTTTCTTTGTGGAAAAAAATACTCTTTGTTCTGAGTAATTTGTAGTAAGACAAAGTTGCCAATAAAAGTATTATGTTTAGTGTATGCCGTATTACCCTTCTCATAAATTAATTTATCTTCTGGGGATTTTTTTTTAGTGTAAACACATAGTGCGTATCTTTTTTTAACGAGATGCTGAAACCTCATCTGCAGACCCAATACATCTTGGAAGTAAGTTTCAAGATCCAATGATGCATTACTAGATTTCTCTTCCTGCATGATAAAAAATTCTGCTTCAAAGTGTGTTGGAAAAACTATTGTAGCAGATTTCAGGAAGGCATGGTATCCTACGCAAGCATGCAGATCCAAATTTCAGTGTAGTTTTTTTTTAAATTATTATTTTTGGAGGTTCCTAGTGAGCATCTGTAACTATTAAAGTGACAGAATTTTAATGCTGAACCTTGAACTACTTTGAAGGCATTTTCTAGGATTATTTAAGAGCTTTTAAAAAATTGCATCAGGGACCGCAGCGGGAATTTGAGCCTTTGAGAAGTCAAGGCCAGCCTTTAACTTTTTCTGCATGTTCAGTGATAACACTGCAGAAAACAAACAAATACAGTAAAAGATGGTAACTCAACAAACCTAATTGTTTTTTTCTCCAACATCCTGTCAGAAGCTCTCTAGTTTAGAGATTGTGGACTCTATAGAGATTGTAGCCATTTTCCCTCATAATTTTTTTTTATACTGAGGCACTTGTTCAGATAAAGAAGTTCACCTTATATTTTCCCCTATTGAGGCTAAGCAAACAGTTTTCATATCTAGGGATCCTGACTTCATATGCAATAGCTATACATCTCAGAAGATGCCCCGGTGACAACAGACAAAATCCATAAGCAAGAAAAATGTGGGTAATGCCAAACTAAGTTGCTACATTGGGAAAGCAGTTTACCACCTTTTGTTGTTTTTTTAGTTTTCGCTTTTTATGGGGGGAAAAGGTTGACATTCACTGCAAAGAAATATTATATGCTGCTGGTCAGAAGAGAACCTAAGAAGTAGACCTTCTGAATGCCCTCTTAAATGGAGAATCAACAGTGGCAGCTTTCCTGGCTCCTCTACTATTCCAATGCAAACTCTGGGCGGACAAAAAAAAAAAAAAAAAAACCCACATAAAGTTCTGCATCAGGATCACAAGGAGCCCAAACATAACAAAAGTAGCCCAACAGTGCATACTTCTTTCCTTGAAAGACAGCACCGGGTTTTGCAGCGTGCTACAAATGCAAAGCAATGCTGATTGTTGGGTGAAAGATGTTTTGGATTCTAGCCAAGTATAATAAGCATAGAAAGACAGCTGTTCTGGATTCAGATTTCTAAGGGATGAGAGGTATCAAATTGTAATTGGTGCAACCAGGTACCCAAGCAACCAAGGAAACTAAAAATTAAAAAAAAAAAATCAAACTCTAATACTGTGAGATAAAAATATTTCTGAGCTCAATGACGCATATTCAAAAGATAATGGCAAAACATTCCAGATCTGCTCCCCAGGAAAATTTAAGGCAGAAACTGATTTTCTGGCTCAAAGCCTCTTGAATGTAGCCTTCTCCTCAACCTATCCTGGAAATATAGACACCCCAAAATCCAGCCTCTCCAGGAAGTAAGACATCCTAATAGCTCTGGAGTCACAACTGATGGTTTCAGAACTTTAACTGGAATGATCTGCCCAGGAAAACGAACAGATACTCGCTGCTCACAATAAAACAAGTAAAGAGGCTCCCAATTTCATTTGCTTATTTTTGGCATCCAGAGCAAAAGGCTAAGATGTCAAAATTCATCTTCATCTTCCACAAGGAGGGTGCCTAGATTTACATGAAGTCATCAGAGTCATTGCCATCCTGTGAAAGGAAAGACAAAAGAATGTGTCAGAAGGGATATTTTATGACACTAATATTTTAGGCCGCTCAGCACCACAGATTTCATACCAGAACACTTTTCTCTCTTTTTCTTCCAGTTAACTGTTGTAACTTCCTCAGAAAAAAAATATTGAAATCACATTCTTCCATTCCTATGATCCCAAAGCAGAGGTTTGCAAACATGCTCATCTCACAGCACAAATCACATGCAGAAATGGCCTCCCAAATATCAATTTATGGGAGGCATTCTTTGAATGGAAATCTGAAACGTTTTAGTGCAGACAAGACGACACCTAACATGACAAAGCTGCATAAAATCATAAATGATGTGGAAAAGTGGATAGAAAAAAGTTTCTCTCCTTCACTTATAATAAGGAAATTTGGGGATTGTCCAAGGAAGCTAGTCAAGACTTAGCTATAGGAAGAGAATGATGGGCTGCATTTACCAAGATAGAAAGTGAAGATCTCAAGACTACAGATTTTTCTACTAAAATAGCCTAGTATCAGGGGAAATTGGGACTCAATTAGGTAAGCAAAAAGCATTTCATTGTCTGTCATTCTACTGTACATGTTACTTGCTAAGTCCTAACATGAAAGGTGGACTCAAAGAGGACTATCATAATATCTATAGCAGAGGTCTTCAAACTTGGCATCTTTAAGACTTGTGGACTTCAACTCCCAGAATTCTCCAGCCAACATAACATAGCTGGCTGGAGAATTCTGGGAGTTGAAGTCCACAAGTCTTAAAGATGCCAAGTTTGAAGACCTCTGATCTATAATCTCATCACAAAAGTATCAAAAAACACACCTGGTTAGAAGTCATATTCTCTGCTTTCATTAAGGAAGAGTAACTCCTGTAAAAAGAAAACAAATATGTTTTAATTTTTTAAGGTTAAATAATTAATATAAATGGGAATTTTGCCAGTGAGGCAAGACTCAGCATGAGTGACAATAACCGAAAAAAAAATAAGATTATAAATTATAAGATAAAAATCTAAGTAGAATAAAATTGTGACAATTAGAATTCATGACTAGAATTCAAATTTCAGTTTCCACAAATCCAAAAGTGGTTTGGTTTGAATGATAAATGTAAGACTTGTACAATGGGAAGTAAGATGCTGGCATGCTTATTTACTGAATTTTAAAATTTTACTTGTAATATGACCAATTATTTATTTATTATTTATTTTATTTTATTAAATTTGTATACCGCTCTTCTCCTGCTGGACTCAGGGCGGTGCACAGCCAAAATAAAAAAACATCCCAATACAAAATTTAAAATTTGTCAAAAGAATTACACAACTTTGGCCCAAAATTTAAAACATCCCAAAATCTAACATCTCAAAGGCAGGTGGGGGTGGGGGTGGGGGGAGTTTAAGCCAGCCCTGCTTGGTGGAAAAGAAAAGTTTTTAGAGCACGGCGAAAAGCCCGGAGATCTGGTATCATGTGTATCTCCGGGGGCAAATCGTTCCAGAGGGCAGGTGCTGCCACAGAGAAGGCCCTCCCCCTGGGGGTCGCCAGCCGACACTGCCTGGCTGACGGCACCCTGAGCAGTCCCTCCCACTGGCCGGTGGGAGGCTATCAGCGGCAGAAGGCGGTCCCGCAAATACCCAGGCCCAGTTAGAAACTGACTGGCAGTGTCTTTTGATTGAACCACACACAAATATCAGCTCTTGTTGAATTTACCTTCAAAATCTCTCAAACAACCTAAAAAGGTTCCTGTAAAGTAAATTCTAAAGGGACAAAGCTGTAATACAGAAAAACAAACTACAGATAGTCCTTGCTTGATGACCATAATTGGCACCAGAATCTGTTGAGCAAAGAAGTCGTTAAGTGAAACCCTCACATAACTGCTTTGCTCAACAACCACAATCCCAGCACTTCCGGTTACTCTTGTTAAGTGATCTCCTGGATCATTAAGCAGACAGAATGAAAGAGCTGCCTGCCAAAGGATTTCAGCTCCCCTCTGGCATGGAAGGGAAGGGAAGAGAAGTCCTTTGTTGGGCTGCAGGAATGGAGCTGAAATTTTCAGGATTTCTCTCTTGGGCATAAAAGAGGGAAAGAGAAACTCTGTTAGGCTTCCAAGATGCTGTTATATGATATAAAAATAAATAAGAGTTAGAATTATTTGTATGATGTATGACCAGTCCTGGCCTTTCTTGAAGACTGACAATTTCTCAGATAGGATACATTTTGAGACAACTATTCTGAAATAGCAGAATGTAGTTGATCAGCAAGAAAATATCAAATTGGACCAGTACCATTCTACATACTATATAGTTACAAAAACTGGCCACCCTGGTTGCCTGCAAGGAGCACCAAGAAGAGAAAGGGAGGAAGGAACAAAGAAGAATATTTTGATTAGTGGACTATATGGCTAGAACAGGCTGCAATCCATTCCACCCTAGGAAATTAATTACTTCATTTCTTACATTAAAATTTACATTTGTAACAGGATTGCGTGTGAGCATACTGTTGATTGTACAGCACAAACTGTTAACTTGCAACATCATTAGGATGAAGCTGAAATCTTGGCATTACACTACCATTATTTTAAAGTTTTATTTAAAGTTATTTGGAACGTTAGGGGCACAGGAGAGAAATCAAGTAAGAGTTGGGCTGGGATCCAAGCAAGATGTTGAAGAAGCGAAATCACCTCCCTTCAGAATTTAAAGCAAAACTTTTCCATGACCTGCTGAACATCCAAACTTATGGATACTTGTCTGTGCTTATCAGTTCAATCAGACCTTCCGTAGCTGTCCATTCTAGGGATAGCAAGAAAGGAACCCATTTCCTCACTCACCTAAGATCTTCCAGTTCCTTTTTCTTTTTCATTTCTTCCTTTTCCTTCCGTTTTATCTCTTGGATCTGGGCCTTCTTCTCATTCCTCTCCTCCCTATCACGGGCTTCTTTCTCTGCAGCCAGGTCTGGGAATCGTTCCACTTTGGTCTTTTCCAATCGGTTCAAAATCTCGTTTATCTTCTTCTCCACTGTCACTATCTTCACCTTGGAACAGGAAAGAACTGTAATGCTTATAAAAAGTGTAGTTGAATTAACTTTGAATAACACTCAGATTTTTATTCCCTGAGACAACACTGATGTAGAAGCCCCTCAAATGGTCATGTACTTGGACAGCCAATACTTTTACAGGTTCTAAGAAAGTGGACATTTAAGAGATACAATTTTGATCTGAGCCTTGTGTAAACAGGATTACTACACAAATTACTACATAAAGGCTACACCTGTCATCATGTTTGTTTTTACTATATCAAAGTAAAGCAATCATTCAGAGAACTTTTGATTTGATGATTTAAATAGTTACTTCCAACTGTGCAATTTTGTGATTCTCAGACTATGGATTAAAATTGTATTTGGCACCATAGATATAGGATTGATATCAACGTCACTGAAATGTTTTCTATCCATACTGCAAAATAAAGGAAAAGAAAAAAAATCAAGATAATTTGAGATTGGCATGAGGAAACTTGAATCGGGTTTTTAACGCTTCCAGAAGCCATTGTCAGAAACCCTCTGAAAACAGCATCCATAAGACTTGTTTCTGCCTTTCAAAGTAGAGCTTTGGAACATTGGAGAGCAATCGCTAATTTAAGAAATGCAATTAAAGAAGAGAAAATTCTGAAATTTATGAGCTCCCTTGACTGCACTATTAGTTATTGAAGTACAGGCAGGCAGGAAACCACCATTCCTTCCAAATACTGCTTACATACTCAAACCCCATAAAGTCAACGCACAAAGAAAATTTCTGAAGGCTGTTCTACTGTGAGGCCTTAATAAAGGGAGAGAATCCATGCTCGTATTAACCAGAATATTCTGATTGTCCTGGATTCACTTCTAAATGTTAGTGACAGATGTTCTTTTAGAACAGCGGGACACTATCCTGAGGTTCACCTAGTTCACCAAATGAAAACATCAAGGAAGTAGCTTTCTGCTTTCATTTGGTTAAAAATACATTTTGAAAAATGCAGGGGCCTCCCATCTTTCATTCACAGCCCTCTGATGTCAACTAGAAAGGGCTGATTTTTCTAGCCCCAGGATATTAGATCACTTGCTGAAAATAATGTAGGAAGTCTTCAAAGTAGCCAACATGCCAAATAGCTAGCATGTGATGTTCCCATTTGGAAAAAAAGGATACTTGCTGTCCTTAGCCCCATGGACCCCTTCACTCAGGGTCTAAATAACCCTGGACTGAAGTCACATGTACACGTTAGGTCCTGTGGATAGATGCTGGATTGAAGCTTCGTAAACTTTGTAACTTCTTCTATAATTGCTGATAGTTCCAGAATAGGTGGGAAGAAGCCCCAGAATTTCTGTGTGGCTTCAGCCAAATTTCACATATTCATGCAATTGACAAATACTTTAACTCCATATTTATTCTCAAGAAAGTAATAAACATTATACTTCTGTATTGTGTTCTGTATAATGTTCTGTAAAGGCTGGCTCTGAATGGATTTTTTTCATTGAATTTTTCAGATTCTTCTGCCTTTTTAAAAAACTCAGTGGTAAAACCAAGTCCTTCAGCAATGTTCTTATCTTTCCTAAAATTAGTTGGCTAAGAGTCTATAGAGATTCTCAGTCAACCAGGTCATGGTTGTCCCAAAGGTTGGCCAAGAATAATTCAGCGACTGGATTTCTTCCAAGAGAAATAAATATGAAGAAATAAAAGCTTAAAAAGGTGATATATTACATACATTTTAAAGATTTTTTTAAAAAGAGCTTGGATATCTCAGTTGAAGGAGAACGGACGTTGTGTCCCTGAACGTCCATTTTCGGGGCGCTGCGACTCCAATCCATGGATGGGGGGTAGTATCTCCTAGTTGCTGGGCAGAAAACTGAGTGCTAGTCACTTCTCATTGCCAGGCCACGCCCACCTCGACCAATCAGCTTCAGTCTTTCCTCACGAAGGCGCAGTAACAATGCCAACCATAATAGTCCAACCAACAATCAGAATAACAACGTAACAGGAAGCCGAATGGGTGGGTATGGATTGGAGTCGCAGCGCCCCGAAAATGGACGTTCAGGGACACAACGTCCGTTTTCCATTGCGCTGCTCCTCCAATCCATGGATGGGATTTACCCAAGTTCAATTTTCTGGGGCGGGAGGCTGACTGGAGTCCTCATTCCTGGGTGTGGCCACTTGTTGCAAAACTCTACGACCAAAGGCAGCATCCGAAGAAGCATATTGGTCAATTTTGTAGTGTCGTATGAAGGATGAATCAGACGCCCAGGAGGCCGCTCTACAGATCTCAGACACCGAAGCGTTCGTAGACCAAGCTGCCGATGCAGCCGCACTTCGTGTTGAATGTGCGTAAATCCTAGTCGGACGAGGACAGACTCTCACATCGTAGGCTGTTGTAATACAAGCTTTAATCCACCTTGCCACCGTATTAGACGACACCTTCTTCCCCATTGATGAAGGAGTGAAAGATACAAGTAAGGATTCAGTCTGTCGAAAGGACTCAGTACGTTTGATATAACGTCGGAGGGCACGCCTAACGTCCAACGTATGCCATAAGGATTCAGATTGGTGCCGTGGATTCGGACAAAAGTTAGGTAAAACCAACTCTTGGGCACGGTGGAATCTTGAGTTAATCTTTGGTAAAAAAGATGGGTCCAAGCGCAGAACTACTCTGTCGCTGTGAAACACACAAAGATCTTTGTGAACAGAGAGCGCAGTGAGCTCCGATACACGCCTAGCTGAAGTAATGGCCAGTAGAAAGGTGACCTTCAGCGTTAGAAATTTCAGAGATACGGAAGCCAAGGGTTCGAATGGCGAAGTGGTAAGCGCTTGTAGCACTAATGGCAGATCCCAAGATGGGTATCTGTGTATCACAGGCGGAGAGATGTTGGAGGCCCCCTGAAGGAAACTCCTAATCCTAGGATTGTGCGATAGAGTACGGTGTTTCTCACAAGAAATGACGGTTGATAAGGCTGCCACCTGACGACGAAGCGTGGCGGGGGCTAGACCCTTGGCTAAACCTTCATGCAAAAATCCTAGCACATCCGGGACATCCGCAGAGGTTGGGTCCACGTGATGGGAAACACACCAGGTAGAAAACGAACGCCAAGAGGCCTCATAGATTCTAGTAGTAGAAGGGCGTCTTGCAGCTTGAATCACATTAATGACATCAGGGGACAATCTGTCCTTTTGTAGCTGGAGCCGCTCAAGCGCCAGGCGGCTAATCGGAGCCACCCTGGATCGGGGTGGAAGATGACTCCCTGGCTGAGCATGTTCGCTTGTAGAGGTAGGACCCATGGTGGTACCGTAGACAGGTCCATCAGGTCTGCATACCAGGGTCGGCGCGGCCACTGTGGTGCAATCAGAATCAACTCCGCTCCTTCCAACAACATTTTGCGAATCAGCCGTGGAATCAGAGGTAGAGGTGGGAACGCGTAGAGGAGCTCGGAAGGCCACTGGCAGTGAAGGGCGTCGTAACCTTCTGCTCCGCTGGTTGGGTAACGCGTGTAGAACCTCGGTAGCTGGGCGTTCTGGGGCGTGGCGAAGAGATCCACTTGAGGGCGACCGAATTTGCTCACAATCTGTTCGAAGAGTGCAGGGTGAAGAGACCACTCCGCCGGGTCCAGGTGCTCCCTGCTGAGCCAGTCCGCCATGATGTTGTCTTGCCCCGAAATGTGGTCCGCCACCAGAGAAGCTGTGTGTTGTTCCGCCCAGGCTAAAAGACTCTCCGATTCCAACATCAGGGACTTGGAGCGCGTGCCCCCTTCCCGATTTATGTGTGCCTTGGTGGTAATATTGTCCGTTCGGACTAACACATGTTGCCCCTCCAAGGCGTGTGCGAAATGGCGTAAGGCGAGACGAACAGCCCTCAACTCCAGCCAATTGATGCTGTTCGTTCGCTCCGCCGGAGACCACTGACCTTGAACCACCGCATTCTGCAGATGGGCTCCCCAGCCCGACAGGCTGGCGTCGGTAATCAGGACAACTCGTTCCGGGTCGAGAAAAAGACATCCCCTTTCCAGAGCAGCCGACTTCCACCACGTGAGCGATAGACGAGTTTGCGGAGGTAAGACAAGTTGATGAGACGACGTGCTGCGGTGGGTTCTCTGAAAGGGAAGCAACAGCCACTGAAGCGGACGAGAATGTCTGCGTGCCCACGGAACGACCTGTATGCAGGATATTAACTTCCCCAACAATTGGGTCAACAGGAGTAGGGGTACCTTCTTCTGGGATTGGACCTGTCGAACCATCGACCTGATGTCGCGAATGCGATCCGGAGACAAAAACACCTGGCCCAGCTGGGAATCGATCACTGCACCCAGGTGTTGGAGCCGTGTCGTAGGAGTTAGGTGGCTCTTCCGCCAGTTGATGGAGAAACCGTGGCTCTGGAAGGCCTGTAGAACCACCTCCATGTCCTCCCGAGCCCGCGACGGTGACACTGACATCACCAGGAGATCGTCGAGGTAACAGCTGAGGCGCACAGAACGGGATCTGATGGAAGCCGCGACCACTGTCACCAATTTCGTGAAGGTCCTGGGGGCCGAGGACAGCCCGAAGGGCATTGCACGATACTGAAAATGCATGTTGTTGTATTCGAAGCGGAGGTAGCGACGATGCAACGGGTGGATAGGCACATGCAGGTATGCTTCGCGTAGATCTACCGATTGAAGGTAGTCCCCTTGCCTGATGGACGCCAGGATTGATTTGAGGGAGTGCATCTTGAACCTGCGATACAGCACATACTGGTTGAGACGTTTCAGGTTCAAGATGCCCCTGTGGCCCCCCGATGATTTTGGCACCAGAAACAAGGTAGCGTAGAATCCAGTTCTCTCCTCGTCTTTGGGCACCGGTTCCACTGCTTGGATGGAGAGGAGATGAGATATCTCCGCTTCCATGAGCTCCCTTTGGACCCTGCACCGAGGGACGGGGCAGCGACGAAAGGTGGTTGGTGGTAGTGTGTGGAATTCCAAGCGCAGTCCCTGTTGGATGGTCGCTAGGATCCAAGCATCGGTTGTCGAGAGTCCCCACCTGAGGTAGAATTGCTGCAGTCGACCTCCGATCGGGCCTGGGAGCAGCGAGTCACTTCCCTCTGCGAGGAGGCCGGTAGGAGGAACCTCGAAAGGGACGCTTTGCTTGGGACTGGTTCCTGGTTCTATCCCGAAAGGAATGTCTGTCCGAAGTACGGTCCGAGGGCTGGGAGTAAGGCCGCTGGTAGAATGAGCCACCTGGTCCCGAGGATGATCGAAAGGACTGTCGCGGGGTATAAGGTGTAAATCTCCGTTCGGAACGGTGAAAGGAGGAAGGCAACACTTTGCGTTTGTCTTTATCCTCTATCAGGATTGGCTCCAGACAAGGGCCGAATAGTGATGGGGCAGTGAAAGGCGCTGAGGCCAATTTCCATTTAGACTTATTATCCGCGCGCCAATTACGGAGCCAGAAAAGGCGTCTGTTGGTTACAGTTGCTGCCATAGCTCGTGAGGCAAATTTTGTTGCTGTTAAGGAGGCATCCGCGGAATATTCTGTAGCTGCCACCAGTTTATTAATATCTTGGTGCAGCCTGGTATCAGTGGGAGGCAACCTCTCTTGTAGCTGGCGGAGCCAAATTAGCGAAGCCCTATTGAAGAACGATGTAGCCGTGGCTGCCTTGATAGCCCAAGCTACCGCTTGGTGCGCCTTACGGAATCCCATCTCCATCTTGCGGTCCTCCGCTTTGAGGCCATCCACCACGTCAGAAGTCAGCATGGAAGAAGTAGACAGGGCAGCCACTGGGGAGTCCACAGAAGGAACGGCAAGTAACTCCTCCAACTGCGAGTCAGCAGCATAAAGACGTTTGTCAAGGCCGCTTGGGGCTGTCAATGAACCCGGTTGGCCAAAGGCCGACGTGATGACATTGGAGAATAAAGGAGGACAAGGGATAACATCTTTGTCTTGATGAGCCACTTGGAAAAGAGTATCATGTGGGCGTTGAGAGTCAGCGGCTTTGTCAGCAGAACCTTCTGTAATACCAAACCCAGTAGCGACCTTGGCTTTGTGCAGTAAGGATTTGAAGACAGAAGGCCGGAACAAATTCGTGAAGGTGGGTTTTTCGGGGGGAAGATCCTCATCCTCGGAGAATTCGACATCCTCCGGACATATCTCCCCTTCTTCAGACTCGTCCGAAGACGATTCAACAGGACGGTGTTTACTTGTACCTGGAACAGCCTCATCAACAGGAGCCTGATCTTGTGAAGGCTGACAGGTGTTGATTGACTTAGTCATATCCTGTTGAATGCCAGCTGCCAAAATCTTAGCCAGGGCATCCGATAACATAGCGTGAAAGTTCACTGAAGTGTCAGGCGCCTCTGGGCGGAGCCCCGCCGCAGTAGGCGTAAAGGTAGCCTCTGGCTGACGCCTGTGACCCAAGGGGACATCAGAGTGGCTCGAAACATCTGGCAATGACGTAGACACCCCTTTGGAGCGTTGCAAGTTTGAAATATAAGGTCTGGTGGCCGATCCTGAGGTGGATCCAGACTGTAAAGTCCCAGAATTATCGGCAGCGCACTGAGAAGTGTGAGCCTGCCTTGACAGAGCTTCCTGATGCTGTCTGGCCTGTTCAAACTGTTTTTCCAAGGCTTCATGGTGCCTCTGCTCCGCTTTGTTTGAGGAGCTAGACTTTGAAGCCAATTTTGATTTGTGGGTTTTAGATTTTGTTTTCTTTTTGCCTGGCTTATGCTGGGTGGCAGGATAATTGCAGGCGCCTTCAGAATCAGATGACAAGGCTATGTCTGCCATGATGAGAGCAGCAGTCCAGACCGTTATGAGATCAACACCGAGGCTCCCCCAAGGATGATGCCCACAGTGAGGACTCAGGCGGTTAGGGGTAAACTAGGCCCAGAAGCCGCTGGGCTCAACCCCAAAGAAAAGTCAGCAAGTGAACCAGGCCAAGAAGGGGGGGGGGGATAGCGCCAATCCGCCCTGGGCAGGGATCAGGAACACAAGTCTAGCAAGGTGGCTTATAAGGCCCCAAAAGTCCAACCGTTGCTATCAGGCAAGCCTCTCACTCTCCGTTCCTCTTCTTCTATTTTTTTTTTTTTTTTATTTGAACGCCCTCAAAATGGCGGCCGCCACGCCGTCAGAGTCCCGAAACAAAATGGCGGCCGTCACTCAACTCAAGTACCTCCTGAGGCCTGAATCCGCTGCGGGGAAAATGGCGCCGCTGTAGATCCTGCCTTGCGTCTTCGCCAGCCGGCGATGTGAATTCGGCCCGAAATAGCTGCAAGGCTTGCCTGCGATCCTCCGCTCGCTTTTGAAGGCGCCGCCTGCGCTCTACAGCTGATTTTAATCAACGGAGGCCGCCCGATGAAAGGGCAAGCACTCCGGAGCCGCTCGATCGTCGGAGCTGGGGCGACGGCAGCTTTTCCAGCTCACCAGAAAGCTAGCACGTCGCCAGCGGCTTTAACGGCACGGATCCGCCCAGCCGGGTCGGAATCCGGCGTGCTGCAGACTCGATGGAAATTGAGATAGGCCAGGCGGCTTGGAGCCCAAAGCCCGCCCAAGGCACGCAGCACAGCCGAAATTACACGTAGCAGCTCCTCAGCAGAAGTATAATAGCAGGAAAAATAATAAAATAAAATAATAAAAGCAATGAGAAGGTCAATTTTAAAGGATAGATTAAATCCAATAAGGAGCACTCAAATTGCCAAGTTCTCACAGCAACTGAGTGAGAAAGACTGAAGCTGATTGGTCGAGGTGGGCGTGGCCTGGCAATGAGAAGTGACTAGCACTCAGTTTTCTGCCCAGCAACTAGGAGATACTACCCCCCATCCATGGATTGGAGGAGCAGCGCAATGGAAAAACAGCAAACATAAAGCCACGAGTCTTCCAATTTGAAAGATACTTGCTATTTTTTTTTAATTATTGTATGGCATTCATTTTACTATGGTTGCTGGAGATATTTCCTCCAAATTTCTTTCATGCTTTTATTTTCCATTCTCTCTCAAAAATGTATTTCTAAGTCTCTAAAGACAAAGAAAAACAGTGAAAATACCAATTTAAATCAAATCATTTCACTGGTCCTTAAGTCATGCTGGGGGAATAACACAGAATCCTTTCCCCAGATCTAATTCTATAGGGTTTTTTAAAAAATCTAGGAAGGCAGAAGCTGATGAAAGACCTTGTATGTGCAAATCATATGTTTTCCCACCAAAACACTTCTCCTCTCTCAGGAATACAAAGATGATCATAACAATCCATTGAGCAGGGGTGGGTTCCACTTACCTTTACTACTGGTTTGCAGCGCATGTGCAGATCACCCATGATGACATCGTGGCAGGTGGGCGGAGCCTCCTGCCAGTTTTATTATCGGTTCTATAGAACCGGACCAAACCGGGGGCAACCCACCACTGATTAAGAGCACTGCTCCCAGCAATTTTGGATAACCTTCTGAAATTATAGGGATAATAACAGCAAATATAGCTACTAGCCAAAGATGATTGGGTTGGAGCTTCATTGACCAACTTTTGTTGGTACCCTTCACAAGCTGTCTATTCTGTCCTCCCCAAGAACATGTGCATGACATGCTTTGTCCTTTCTTTTCATTTTTTTACCAAGATCAATTCTTTCTACTTTTATCTTTTGCAACTGGAAGAGCCCAATTAAGTGAACTGTGGTATTTTTTAATTTTATCTGCACAATTTATTCTAAACACAAGAACTGCGGATGGGATAGCACTAGAATATTAGAACTCAAGGCAATCATCTTGCAATCAAGTTACTAAAAATAAAGGGAAGCCATGTATAACCAGTTGCTACTAAAGGCATAATAGTTTAGGACCCAGATTGTGGGGGCAATAAGCTGACTTTGTATAAAATATACAAAAGTATGAAGGCTATTGCTTAACGCATTGTAAGCCGCCCTGAGTCTCCGGAGAAGGGCGGCATATAAATTAAAGCAAAAAAAAAAGTTTCTCACGCAATGTTACTCATTGGGAGTTTAGCTGAACATCGTTATTAGGGAACTGAATAGTTAACAGCGGGGCAATGCTGTTGACCCCTTTGCATTGCAACTTGCAAAGGTTCCAATCAATATCAGATCTCCAATGCAGGCTCAGGCTTTTCATAGACTATACCAGCTTTAACTTTAGTGATGAGAGAAGCCAAAGATGCTTCTGCTTTCCCACATACTCTTTCAACATTTTACAGGTGATTATCAAAGTCTCCCATTAGCTTCTTGGTCTGATGGATGAAAGTAGCTTGAAACCTTTGGAGAGGTCAGGGAGGAATATGATACTTACATCCTTTTGTCTATGAAAACCAATCTGGCCCACATCCATGTCTGCCGTTTTCTTTAGGTTGGCCCATGGGGTATATACTATATTGACATTATTCATTTTGCAGCCTAAAAAAGAGAGTAATGATACAGAAAAAGAGCAATTATGCCTATTTCTGGGCATCTTTCTCAATGCCTTAATTAGGATAAAAAACATTTACATAGTAAGAATACAGTATCTACAGCTAAGCTATTTTCCAAGGAAACTTGAAATATCTTTTGTGTTCCCAATTATGTAAAAGAGGCAGAAAGAGTGGAAGTTCTCATCAGCTCCCACAATTCCAGCCAATCATGCTATATCACATCTGCTAAAAATTGAGGCTCAGAGCAACTGACTACTAGCTCCAATTGTTCCCAAAAAGGTACTAGTTAGAGACTCTCAATCTTTCATCTGTCTAATTCCTGCAGGAACAGAGAAGCAACGCCAAGAATTAAAGAGAAGTTCCAAGTTTCTCGAGATGAAGTTTTTAAAGACAACAACTGAACAAACCATCTGCTTCCCATGATATAGTCAAGGCACAAAAGGAGCATCTAAATATAAGTCATAATTCAACAGTTATAATCCTCCAATGTAGCTTACACATTTTTCTGTTATTCTCTAGCTTTGAAGCATGGAGTCTGTTTATTCAAAACTGACACAAATTGAAAACAACTCTGAATAATGCAACATTTATTGTTCCACGCATATCCATTTTTTTGAGGACATACTTAGACTTTGAGTAGCATACAAAAGGCTGCATTTAAAAAATGACTGCAGGACAAAGACTAGGTTTAATTTAAATTATTGAACATTTTTCTTCTATCCCCGTGGTTCTCAACCTTTTCTTCACCACTGACCCCTTTTAAATACTTTTTGTGGCCATGGAGCATGGCCACAGACCACCAAGACTTAACCCAACATTTAAAGCACTAGACTGCATCTAATATTCACAGACTCCCTGTGACATCGCAGCCTCCCCAGGGTTCCGTGGATCATAGGTTGAGAACACTGTTCTATCCTATTAAAAATCACTATACAATTTGATGGCAATTTTGGAGCCATCTTGGAGGCTGCATGCAAGCTCTTTGGGGATTTTAGACTGTTTTACTATGACAGGAATTGGATTAACAAGGCTCCATATTCTTTACTACTTTATAATTTTAGTTTTATCCATATTTCCTCCCAAAAGCTCAACAATAAATCTGTGCTTAACCCTCAAAGACCTGAATTATGATTCAGCCCATGAAATTTTTGAACGATGATTTGAAACTGGGACTCTGAAATTTCAATCCTGTGTTTTGATTCCCTAATATTGTATTGGGCCTTTCTGAACACTTACTCTGTAGCCCATTTTGTATCTGCCTAGAGCAAGGGTGTCAAACTTGATTTCATTGAGGACTGCATCAGGTTGCGTTTGACCTCGGGAGGGGGGGGCATGGCCAACATCACTCATGTTGGGGGGCACCTGTGGTGACCCGAGCGCTCTGCCAGAGAAAACAGGCTCCCAAGCTTCGTTTTCGGCTGTGACGGCCTCCTGCAACCCTCTGACAGTGAAAACGGAGCTTAGGGGAGGCCACACGCGGCTCTCCCGAGCTCCATTTTTGTTGGAAGAGGTACCGCAGGCCGGTCCTTTGCTATTTCCAGGGCGACCCCATGGACCAGATCTAAGCACCCCGTGAGCCAGATCTGGCCTTGAGTTTGACACCCCTGGCCTAGACACCCCTGCCCTCTCCAATTACTGAGATATGATTCAAGTCAATGCAATGAATGCAGATACAGCAGGATAAAATAATTTCAAATTTATGAGATAGCACTGAGGCTTCTTTTTAATCTTATGCCACGGTGCCCTAATATTTCCTAAATAAAAATTTGCAGAATCTAAGGCACAGAGCTGAAAGGAATTTTCAAGACTAAAAAACATCTCTAAGAAATGCCCGGTAGCCTATGGTAAAGGAAATCATATAAGCATTCAGCTCAATTTGTTATAGGTTTCATGCAGTATTCCCCTTGATATAAAACAGAACAGAGTACAAACCTCAACTTTCAACTGTTCATATCCTAGAGGGCCAGCAGGCAAACCCAGCAGCTTTAAAATTCTAGGTCTGGAATTCTGAGCAAACCAGAAAAATAGAAGCATTCCAGAAACCCAAGAACTTCTGGCTTAGGTGGAAGAAAGGGAACATAAAAAGAACACTTCTGGAACTAACCAGCCAACTGAAAGAATAAGGCTCCCATGCAGCGGGTGCATAATACTCATTCCATTATTACATTTTATTTTAAAAAATATATTGGGTAGCTATATATTTATTAGGCAACTAATTGAAATTATAGAATTTGGCTCTCCTAAAAGGATCCTTGAGTCTGACTATAAATGGCATTTTGACTTTACTTTCACTATAGGAAGAAAGCCAAACCCACTAATTTGGATCGGCAGAAAAGTCAAGGGGGGGGGAGCTTCTGGAATGTAGTTTGGGGTTTGTGAACTGTCCCCCCCCCCCAAGTAGAGCTGTCTTACGTATCGAACTATGTCAACTGAAGAACTGTGGACTTAACAGTCCAACACATCAGCAGAGCATACAACTGGGGAAAACTGCTCTAAGGAGAATTAGAGGGAAAAGCTGAGTAGGTTTATGTGATCTTTATGCTGGTTAAAAAGGAGGGAGTAAGGGAAAGACCTTTCTTTACTAAAGTTGCCTGAGGTATCAATAGTTACCGACACTATCTTAATTATCTAGTGTTTCCCTATGGCAGGAACCATCAAAAGCTAACAGGACAAGGAAGCAATCAAACATTCCTTAAAAAGACCATAATACAATAATTTTTGAAAATTCTGGGACAATGCTGGCCAAGACCACAGACGCTAAGAAATTTGGAACATACAGTATTTTACTTGGAGAATTGTGTTCTCTTCTCCCTCACCCCCAGCAATGTCCACAAAAGATTTAGAAGTTACGTTCATACTGGCAAAAATCCCACAAATACATGCAAAGAGTCACTGGGATTCAGGGAAAGGAAGAAGGAAGGAAGGAAGGAAGGAAGGAAGGAAGGAAGGAAGGAAGGAAGAAAGAAAGAAAGAAAGAAAGAAAGAAAGAAAGGAAAGAAAGAAAGAAAGAAAGAAAGAAAGAAAGAAAGAAAGAAAGATCCTCATGGGCACCTGATGAGATCTGAAGTAAGGGAAGATGGCTTAAAGAGGCAACTACTTGAATATTAACCGGAATTTTGACCCATCTATATTGGGTGGCTTTCTCTGTTTAACACACTGGTACATCATATGGATAGATGCTAGATCAAAGCAATCTGTTGGGGATAGGGTACACCTGGAATTTAAAGAGCATGTAGTGGGCACGCTTAAGGTAGGCATAGATGTTCACAGAAATGACTGTCATGGGAGACATGACTGATCACAAAACATAAATTTATCACAATGAAAACTGGTCTCCTATGATATTCTTTACCATTTCTGGAGGAACTCTGAGGAGCCAACAACATTCTTGCATGTAAATGCAGTATGATGGTTGAGTTTTACCTTGCCGCATTCCTTTTTTAAAAAAAATTCTTTTAATAAAAACTAAATAGAATAAGGAACTTGTAAACACTAAGGAAAAATTCTGGAAGTTACTTGAACCCACAATTACAACATTGCCTATTTGGTGCTAGATTCTACCCTGTCTTCCATTACAATTTGATATCTACCTGGCTGAAACTACCATAATTACCACTGTGCCTTTGCTAGGACAATCTTTTTCATATTTTGAAATTTTGAAATGATTCATATTGTTCTAGGCTCTGAAGCTTTGGTATTCTTTGTTAATCCCACATTTAAAAGCCTTCCTCCTTGACTCCCCACTCAAAATCCTTGTAATTTTTTTTGACTCACTTTCTCATATAGGCAAAATTTTACCTTGAATGCTGTTGGCCTTCACAAGCTGTGCACAATCTATCAAAACCTCCTTAGGAATATCATCCACTGTTTGCCCCTAAAATAAATCAAGGTGGATATGAGCATCCTAGGTGTGGGAATGCAGAGAACATGCTGTGAAAAGTTTCACAGTCCCTTGCACTGAATTTATAGATACATAAGGAAGCTACAGCGAAAATGCCAAAGTCTTAAAAGGCGTAACAGTATGATATAAGCTTTCCTGACCTAGAACTCATTTCATGCAAATTATGAACTGGCCTGGAAATTTAAAATACTGCATGATTAAAAATGTGTTGTTCTATATAATACTACAAGACTATTTGCTGCTATTGTAATGAACAATTTTACTATAGCATTGTTTTTTAAAAAATAAATACACCTTGATCTTTCTTGCACACAAATTAAATTAGTTTATGACAGATTTCACATGTCACACAAAGCCATTCATTTTTAAATCATGGTTTGCAGACAAAGATACAATTACTCTGGGTTCACTAACTGCCATAAGGCATACAAGCATATCATACAAACCATAATTGTTAAGTTGATGCATGATACAAATCAAAACCAAGAAAACCATATAGCTCACTATCACATTTTGGTTAGATGTTTTGAGAATAAAACTGATCGTATTTTCCATGATTGAAATCCCAGAGTTTTGGCTATCCAAACTGCATGAGTCCAGAGCACTATTGATTAGACTCTTTTGGATGACTTTGTTTTTAAGGCATAAGGATGTAAACAAGTATACTTTTTTCAGTTCTTATTCCTCACAGCTTATTATGCATAGTACGAAAATTATGCTCAGCTGAATCCAAGAAGAATTTTAGTTTGATAAATTTCTGGAAGTCTTCCAAAACTGAAAGTAGAATTCTAGACATGGTCCACACATGAAAAATATCAAACCATTGTCGCAAATGTTCAATCAGGCCATTCTTGAACACTGAAATGTTTTTGGGAACCTGCAAATTTCTGCCACCAGAAAAGGGAGGTTTTGTACACAGCTATTGGTGAGGAACTCTGCATAATTCTGTGCATTGTTGTTATGCAGCTATGAAAGCACCATTCCGCAACTTTTCATGGATGCATGTAAATGAGCAAAACAAGCAAAGCTGGACAGTTACCTTATGTAGCCGGAGGTAGACATGTGCTGAGGAGAGCTTGTCCACATGAAACCTAGACAAAGTGCAAAGGTTTGATAGGAATTTTGATTCAGTATCCTCCCCACAGACACAACACGTCTAGATATTGTTATCATGTGGTGTCTGTCGCTTAATAGTATGGAGAAGAATTATGTTTTAGCATGTTAACCTCTGAATGAGGACTGAGAATCCAAGGAAAATGAAACCAGAGGGCTAAAAGAGCAAAATCTTTGGAGAAAAATACTGACATAAGGTCAAGTATTCCCTCCAGTGATTCAGATGGAGATAGCTTTGGATATTGGCAAACAAAATCCCGTGCTTAACCTTGTCATGGCCATTTCTCCACCAATTAATAAGGCAAATTCATAAATCATCTCAAACAGATGCGATCTTCCAGAGACTATCCAGGTGAGACAAAATATTTATAAGTATTTGGGGAGGAAAAAAGTGGAAATTACACCTAAAATACACACATTCCAGCACTTCAGTTCTAATCATAATCTTGCAAGCCCCTCCAAAAGGCATTAAAAAAATATGAAAGGAACACTTCTTTATCACTTCATGGTTGCCCTTGGCAACCAGTATTTGGAGGCTTACTACCTCTTTTAGCTGAAGCTGGAAGAGTCATTCCACTGTAACAAGATTTGAATAAAAAGTAACACCTCAACTTCCTTAACTTTAATTTAGATATATGTTAATAAATGAAATAAGAAAACAATTCTTAAAATGATGTCTTTTATTTTCTTCATTTACTTCTCCACATAATCACCACTATTTGCTATACACTTGGACAATTTCCCATCACAGAATTCCATACTTGAAGATCTTTCCATCTCTTCTACCTTTGTCATTTTGAAACAATTAATTAGAATTCAGAAGGACAAGAAGGAACTTTCTCTGTAACATGTCAAATGGCCTCACTCCTCTTGAAGAAGCAATTGCAAAGATGGATTTCACTGTGTTACTCTATCCACCATACAGTCCAGATTTGATGCCATTTGGTTCTCTCTTTTCCCAACTTTGAATTTATTTGTTTGTTTGTTTGTTTGTCTGTATGTACATGGATGCTGCCTGACTCCAAAACAAATACCTTGCTGGTCATTCATTTGACTCAAGTGGTGGAAAGGACTGGTTGAAGAGACATTATCTGGAGGGCTTTGTGATAGCTTTATGAAGCTTGGCCATCATTGGAGAAATACGTAGTAAATGGTGATTACATGAAGTAAACAGAGGTAACGAAAAGAACTCATTTCAAGGGTTATTTTCCTATTTCATTTCTTAAAATATTATTATTTAAACTAATGTTATGGAGGTGGAGAATTTACTTCTCATCCAATACTTGTATCATCCAACACTTGTATCCACCACAAAAGCATCAAAAGTCTCCCCTTTAGGATTCATAAGCTACTTTCCACAGCAATTGAAAAACACAGGCTTTAAGAGTTAAGCCCAAAAGATCTATAGCAGTTTCCCATCACTGTCAACTTCCAGATGTGTGGTCTCCAACTCCCAGCGTTCTTCAGCCAGCACAGTTGATGTTGAAAATTCTGGGAGTTCACACCCACACATCTGTTTTTGTCAAGAGTGGGGAATTCTGCACTTCAGGAAATGAATACATATGCAGAAGTGCCAAAGTCTTCCTATATATTTATCATTTTTATCATGCTTTTCAACTCGAAGGGCCATAAAGCGCCAATTTTACTTACTAAAACTTAAGTCAAATCCTGAAACTGTTTCATTAAAAACAGATGTCTGGAATCAGTAAAAGGATGGGTGATGGCTGATAAGTTGAAATTCATTCCAAATAAGTCATATTATTGACTAGCAATGTTACTGATTTAATGCTGCTGTATTAAATAATTGACTTTAAATAGTGCATCTCATTTCCAACCTACATAGTTTGCTATCTTATAAATCTGTATGAAGAGGCAAAATATAAATATTTTATATATGGAAGTAGAATCTCATTTACCGACCAGTGATTCACTTAATGAACGTGAAGTGAGGTTATAAACCTATCACGGTCACAGGATTGTCCACTTTTGAATGTGGTACTTAACAATGGAGTTGGCAGTCCCAATTGTAGTTGCTAAGTAAGAAGTGCCTGTATTAAGAAGAAACCCAGACTAATTCTCCCGAGTCCTTGGGATATAAGAAAGTGTGAAGGGAAAATGCGATATGAGCTTTGAGTGGCTTGTATGAAGCCTGGCAGCTTTTTGTGAAACTTTTAATAAATCTGTTACTATTTGAATATTTTTAATTCTCTCTATGGAAGAGAATATTTATATATATATATTATAATTACCGTATTTTTTGGACTATAAGACGCACCGGTGTATAAGACACACCAAGATTTTGAAGAGGTAAGCAAGAAAAAAAAGTTTTTGCCTTCCCTGGCCCCCTAGAGCAGTGTTTCCCAAACTTGACCCTTTGAAGATGTATGGACTTCAACTCCCAGAACTCCTCAACCAGGCATACTGGTTGGGGAATTCTGGGAATTGAAGTCCATGCATCTTAAAATAGCCAAGTTTGGGAAACACTGCCCTAGAGCACTCTGCAGGCCTCCCAAACCCTCTGTGCACCCTGTTTTTGCAAAAAATGGGCCCTTTTTTGCAAAAATGGGATGAGCAGAGCGGTGCTTCAGGAGGCCAAAAATGGCTGTATTCAGTGTGTAAGATGCACCAACATTTCCACCCTCTTTTAGGAGGGGAAAAAAGTGTGTCTTATACTCCGAAAAAGACTGTATATTGTATATAAAATATATGATTATACATAAAATATATAACCATAATTACATAATAACTATAATAATTAATTACACATACACACACTTAATTAGTCATGGGTTGCTTAGCTATGATTGTTTTGGATAAACCATACTTTCTATTAGATTATACACCATAATCTATATACTACAACAATTTAGTTCAGACAACACAGTAAAAAAACAAAGAAATTGCATTACAATTAAGCATGGTCATGTTAATTTGGTCTGCATTTGAGATGATATAGAATCTCATCAATTTTGATGCTGAGTTAAAATTATATTTATTTGCTAGTGCTCTTATGATTCTTGCAGTCAAGTCTTTAAGCAGGCTTGAAAACAACAGGAAAAACATTTTGATAGAATATATAACTTGTTTAGGAAGACTACAAAATTGCAACTGGGAGGTTGGAAACTTATTACTGGAAATTGGGAAAAAAACCATCCAAAAACAGAAAAAGATAGCAGGAAATGAACTCTTTTTTAAAAAAGCAGCATTTTTATACAGAGAACTAGAAAATTGACAACTGATATGCTAGAACACTTACATTTGAGAGGTAGGGAAAGAATCTCACTTTTTTGGGTATGGCATAATATCAGAAATAGGATCTCACATCATATTTTAAGTCTGAGTCCAGAAAGGATGCTAATTATTAGGAAGGAGAAAGATTTGTTTCATATGAAAAAGGATTTCATTATACAAAAGTAGGCCCTTTTAAGTACTTACCAAATATCTTCCAGCCAACCATATTTTATTAGATCTTCATCTAAAAGAAAATGGAAAACAAAGATTGATCAGAGCTCTAATAGTGTTCACATAAACACATAAAGAAAATAAAGAATATATTATGCCTTTTTCTCAGATAACATATTTTAAAAGTTTTGTTCTTTACTAAAAAAAATAATACTAGGGAACAAGCATAGGTCATTTGAAACCTTCAGGTTATTTTTATGTAGTTTCAGGTTAATTTTAAACAACATTGATATAAGAAATCAGATATCTGATCATGATAATAGCCTCTAGGCGACATGGGTGACATAAATTATTATAAATATCAGTATAGGTAAGTATAATATAACTATAAATTACAGCTGTCTGGCAATTTCTTGTAAATTACTACTTAGAAAGAGAAAGAGAAAAATGTTACAGAATGTCAGAGAGAAAAAAGTATGACTACTTGTGGCTTCACCCAGTGCATATGGCAATCATACTCACCATTTAGCTTACAACTCATGAGGAAAAGTAGTTCTTAACAAAAGCATTTTTGCCCACCAGGGTAGAAGCCCAAGTGATGTATCACTCAATTAAATATTAATTTGTACATCAGCATTTTTTCTATTACAAATACCAAATTTAGATGAATGGGAGTACAGCTTATTTTACATAGCAAGTATTTGATCTCTGCGCAAGGCATACAGTGCAATTTCACTTTTCAAAATGAATTTTACAATATCTATTTGATAAAAGCAATCTTGAAAACATTGGTGGGTGAGGAAGATGCATAAGGCATCTGGAAGTTGAATCTCTATTGAATTTATTTCTTGCTCCAACTTATCAATTACATTATCTTTTTTACTTGATTGTCTACAAAAGTGACACAATCTAATTTAGATTGTACACTACACTCACAATTACTACATTTGTCCTGGAACAAAAGAAATGTTCCATCTGTTTAAAGATAAAAGGTTGAGAATTGGGAGGGATAGGGTCAGGGGAGCGTGTCACTGAATTATGCAAAGGGTATTGATATTATTTAATTTTAATTTATTATTAAATTTGTTTCCTATCCATCTAATTACGTGGCGACTATATCAAGTACCATATATAGACTATATCAGCGGTATATCAAATACCATATCAAGAATCTTGGTTAACACAATATAAATCAGGAAATGTAATTAACATTGTGTTAAGTTTACTCCATATTATGAAGAATCTATTCTGATTCAAACATCTCTCTCACAAAATTACATGTAACTTCTATGGACAAATAAACCCACATTTTTCACAAATCCATGTATATAATAATCTAATAATGGTTTCCAGTTTGAGTTGAAACCTGTGTCTGATTTACTTTTAAGATACAAAGCTATTCCAGATGCAAAAGCATATTCTCACAACTTCTTTAATTTATTTGTTGAGAATATTTATATGGCTACCCTACTCTCTCACCATAACTCTGGGTCACTTACAGAAATAAAACTGCAATACAAAAGGCAATAAACCACCCTGCCAACAATATTTTTTTAAAAAATTATTTATCCACTCTAGCAAAACTGGAGTAATGTACCAACAACAAAATATCTTATACCAATTTACTCTAAATAAATGTTCAGAGTAAATTTTATGTTCTTCCTTTGAAGTTCCTACTATTAAATCTTTATTACTACATTCAAATTTTGTATCCATTTAATCATGTAGTCTTTGACCTTTCCAGATTCTATTTCACCAGCAATCTATAAATACGGTTCAACAAATATTCCAGATGACCTGTTATAAGATTTTTCCAACTTCTCAATACTGTATTCCCCTTATTTCTGCAATTCTTTGAATTTGATCCTACCTACTTGAAGATAATAAAATCATTATCTTCTGCAAGCCTCTTGCCAAAAAACCTGCAGGGACTTGTCCAAACAGTTGCCAGGTATTAACACTTACTCAAAGGAACCAAATAATCCTACTGATTCAAACCATCCTAGACCAAGATGGCCATGTAGATGTCACTAAGAAGTAAAACATAAGCACAAGGGTATTTTCTCTCCCAACACGGCCCTCATAATGGAAGCAATAAGTTGCCATGATAACTAGCAGACCTTGCATTTTAATCCTCTAATAATTTGTTTAATCACTCTTTAAAACCATCTACATTGGCAACTATATCTTGGTAACAAATGTCATAGCTTTAAAAAGCTCTTCCTTTTATCAGTTCTTAATCTCTCCCATTGGATTCTACAATATTTTAATATTACAAAAGGATCCTGCTTGTATAAGTAAAGGAAAAAATAGCTCCTCTCCACTTTTCCATACCATGGATAATTTTAAAAAGTTTTCCTCACAGGTGAGTTACTTCACTTGCTTATTTTTGGATCCTCTTTTCTACATCCTTTAATCTTATTAGAAGCCTGATGATTAGAAGTAACAGGATTCAAAAATGGTTATACTATAAAGATTGGTAGAAAGGCAATGCAATTTTGACAATTATTTTTAATTCAATTTTAATGATTCCCAAAAAGAAATTTACTTTTTCATGGTTTTATTGAACACACTCATTGTAATACTTGCAAGAAATGTTAATTGATCATTTTCTAGGTTCCCATCAATTCTTAATTCCACATATAAGTGTTCTTTGCAAAAACTGGAGCTATATTGACTATTTCCAGGTTCTATGATGCAAGGCCAATCTTAAAATATTTTACATATTTCTGTTAACTCAGCAGGTTCAGAGTTTCAGAGTGAACTCTTAGAAATGCAGGAATCAATACTGTTGTAATTAATTTGTCAACAGAAACTACATGTAGCCCTTGACTTACAACAGTTCATTTAATGACAGTTCTAAGTTACAACAGCCCTGAAAAAAGTGATTTATGGCCATTTTTCACACTTACGACCATTGCAGCATTCCCATGGTCATGTTATCAAAATTCAGACGCTTGGCAACTGACTCATATTTATGACACTTGCAGTGTCCCTGGGTTCATGTGATCACCTTATAGGGCCTTCTGACAAGTAAACTCAATGGGGAAGCCAGATTCACTTAACAACTGTGGCAAGAAAGGTTGTAAAATGTGGCAAAATTCACTTAACAATTGTCTCATTTAGCAACATAAATTTTGGGCTCAATTGTGATTGTAAGTGGAGGACTACATTTATTTAGAACTTTACTTTGGTCACCAATTTCTCTCTGTTCTTAAGATTCCTCTTTTAAGAAAAAAAATTAACCAGATATTTGCTCTATACCCAAAACAAAACAAGCAAATATCTGGCTAAACTTTTCTTTTAGAAGAATCATAATGTGTGAGAGAAATTGGTGACCAAAGTAAAGCTCTAAATAGTTTCTGTTGACAAACTAATTCAATTGGGTTTTCTGCAATCTTATCTTCTTTCACTTCTTCACCATCAATCTACTTAATTAGTTTTTTCCTTTTGTCCATATTTCACTTTTTAAAATAATTTGTCTTCACATTAACTGTAAAATTTATCTCAAGTCTAGTCATCATCCTGATGGTCTGCTTATATTTTTATCCAACATTTTATCAATATTGATTTGGGTACTGATTTCCTAAAACTAGTAACCATCCCACCATTCTAAAAAAATGCGGCTATCTAAAAGAAAGGGCGAATGAATTCCCAAGCAACTGGAAGCTAAAAAGAGAGTTGTTACAGAAGATGCATAAATTATCAATAGATCACATCTTTTTGATGCAAATCAAAGGAATGTTTTACTTACTTTCATACTTGTCTTTTCCCATATAAATTGTATAAACAGAAGGAACAACTGAAGGATAGAAAAGAAAAAATCCATGTTTTACATCAAACTATGCAGAGATATGCAAGGTTTATCTGTATATGATAAACAAAAGATTTATCTATATCAAAACTATTAAACATATTCATATCCCAATGTCAGAATCACTATAAGCTTTCCTAAGCTGAGGAATAACTAAATTGTGTTCTAAAAACATCAGTTGCCCCAGTATTATTTTCAGATAACTTTTATATTGACTGTTTCCTAATGTGATTTGATTGCTTATTTGTTCCCTATGACTATCATTAAGTGTTGTAAGTGTTGTACCTTATGTTTCTTGACAAATGCATCTTTTCTTTTATGTACATCGAGAGTGTATCTACCAAGACAAATTCCTTGTGTGTCCAATCACACTTGGCCAAGAAAGAATTCTATTGTGTCTAGATAGGCTCTGAAATATATGTTATGATACATACAGGGAGAAAAGGAAAGTTCTTTAAAAATGTGGAAAAATGTGGTTAAAGACAGCAAGGAATGGTTAAGGTTACAAGAGGTAAAGAAAACTATTTTAGAAATGGGTGAAAAGTGCTAAACAATGAATGGTATTAAAAATGAAACTGATTATATTATGTTTGATGTGAGGACATGCTGGAATAATACTTTAGAAATTATAGTACTATGCCAGATAGAATTCCATAAAAGTTAGTGTTTAAGAAAAAGCTGACAGAAGAGAATATATGCTCTGAGAATGCTGGATATGGTAAGACTACAGATATAAACACAACAGTTGAAGAAATGATAACATAGGGACGTGGTTTACTTATGAAATGGGGGTGTATAACGTATGTATGAAAACCTCACTGGTGAGGAAATCCATTAATGTTCTCCTCTTCAAAGAGAAAGATTAATAATAACACAAAAAGGGAATTTGCTTGCTAGTTTTAGAAAGTGTTTGAATTCCGATTGGAAGCATAGTAGACATGACAAGGAGCAAAATTTGGGAAAAATAAGTTTGCACTACAGCAATTCTCTGAAAAATATACGAAGGTGATAAAAATTTATTGTACCTTTTCTTACATAGAGAAGACTCTATATGTATAATGAAAATAGACTTGAGTTTATATCACAGATACAATCATAAAATGTTTTGAGCAAATATGGTGCTGAAAATGCATGGTTGAATAAATAAAAGTTTTATGGTGAAAGTAGAGCATAACTGACAATAAAATCAAGATCACTTTTCATGAAATCTGAATTTCACAGAAATCTGAGCGAAGATGCTTCTGGCTTCATCTTCCATTTCCATTTGCCTTCTGTAAAATCTCCTAAACTTTCTGGGGGTGGGGAAGTTACCTTCACCTTATCTAACCCGGCTAACCCGCCCTGGCTGGGTTTGCACAGCGATAACAGAACATCATGCAGAGATAAAACGAGGCCCCTGGGTAGGTTGGGCTGATAACTACACAAAAACCCATCATCCGCCAACCGAAACATTAGAGGCTGGCGATAAACCAGAGTTGTAAGCTGTGGCATCAACCGGGGAAAAGCGGTTTCAGATAGAAGCACCCACTTATATCTGAGAAGAGCCGTGAGCTTGAGGCCAGGCCGCTCTTACCGTTGGACGTGAAATAAAAAACCATGGCAACACACCACGGGAGCTCCTTCTCACCCGCTCCGGAGATTTAAACCGGAAAGATTCGCAAACGGCCAGCGCCTTCCGGTTCTAGCGAGGCGGCTCTCCGGAAGTGACGTCAGTTTAATAGGGTTCCCATAGAGGTAATAATTGTTAGAACTTTCCGAAAATCCAATAGAGAGGTTAATTTTCCAACGGTGTGTTTCACCCCCTATATAGGCTTATGGATAGCTACAGGGACCCTCATCCATGTTCCCTCGTCGCCTGTGGACGGGCTGCTTCCTTAAACGGAACAAAAAATCAAACTTTCTGTTGGTAGTTTTATATAAATCTTATCCCTTAACCGTCAGGGGTCCCCAAACTAGGCAGCTTTAAGACTTGTGGACTTCAACTCCCAGAATTCTCCAGCCAGCTATGCTGGCTATGCTGGCTGGAGAATTCTGGGAGTTGAAGTCCACAAGTCTTAAAGCTGCCTAGTTTGAAGACCAACGAGAAAAATGTTTCTTTATTTTTAAAGGGACATATTAAAAATGGGTGAGCTCAGGCTAGTTTTAGCGCCACTGAATAGATAGCTGCCTACGTGACAGTTTTCGTCCTCTCTACCTATCCTTAGTGATACCCCTGCAAATGTGCATTCTTTATTTTAAACATTACAGTAATCGTCTATGCCAGTAGGGCAGAATTTTCTGCTTCTGGGGAGGCAGAGAGAATTCGCAGCCTTCCAGAGGCTAATGTTCACCCAATTGATTTAGGAAAGTTTCTTACGAAAGAAATTTACCTTCACGATTTCAAGGAATGGATCCAGGATATGGATCTGTTTATCAAAAAGTTACTGTGCTTTAAGAATGAAAATATAAAGCAACATGCTGGATCAGTTAAGGATTTAATGAATGGTCTATCACTAATTACTATATGGGCCTTTTCTTTCTGTTAATTACTTAGCTTTTTTGCTTTTTTAGTCATGTTCATTTAAATCACCATATTTTCTAGGGTTTTTTTAATCATCAATAATACCATTTCTCTGTTTTTCTTTCTTGTCAGCGCTAGTTGTTTTATTTTGCTATTTATTTATTTTTTAAATCCCATTATCCCCAATAAATGGGGCCAGGCTAGTTCTACAAAGCTGGAAAAAGCTGATCTACATATCTAATACAATATTTTATTTCCCACCTTTATTATTTTTGTAAATAATTCAGGGCAACAAATACTCATTCTTCCTCCTATTTCTGGAAAGCCAGAAGTGGTACTAGAATTCATGGTCTCCGGATTTGTGATCTAGTATCTTACCCACTAGACCAGTGATCGCTAACCTTTTTTTCCTCGGATGCCAAGACCGTGTGTGTGTGTGTGTGTGTGACAGTGCTCGCCCACACCCATAATGCAATGCCTCCTGCATACCCTGCCCCCCTGTGCATGCACGTGCACCATGTTTCCCCTCCCCCCAGTGCATGCATGTGTGACTCCCCCGTCCCCCACTCCCCCATGCTCCCCCCACCCTGCCACACATGTGCACGCCCTCCCGTTTTTGGTCCCAGAAGGCTTCAGGGAGGCCTGATAGGCCCAAAATGGGGCATGGGGGGGTGCGCCACATCCCCCCGGCCCCCCTTGCATGCGCGCACAACCCCCCTTGCCTCCTGCACATTCGTGCATGCCCCTCCGCCCAGTCCCCCACACATATGCACACACATCTCTGCAGACTAGTCAGCTGGCCGGCGGGAGGCATGCGTCCATGTGCAATAGGTTCGCCATCATAGACCAAACTAGTTCTGTTGTCTTCTGTTTCTGTATTTTGTAGTAATAATTGCGGGGTGGGGATGGGGAATCCTTGTAAATCAAAAAGCTTGCAGTTGTCTTGTGAAACTTTATAGGTCTCTAATACAAGTGTCATTTGAAAATGGTTTTTAAAAAGTATTTGATAGACCTGACTAAATAAGGGGCGTGCATAAGAGCACCAGCACGCCTACCATCCCTCTCCTAATGTTCCCTTTATTTACATTCATTTTATGTATTCAATTCATGCTTATACTTATATATATTACCATCTAATACGTGCTTGACAAATAAATAAAATAAATACAAAAATATAAATAAATACAAAAATATAAATAAATAAATAATTGGCACACATCTGTTTTATTCTCAGCTTTGAATTCTTACCTGATTTGGATTCATGTTTACAGTGAGATGCCTTAGAATTTTACAGCAAAAAAGTGAGGTCAAAATAATGAGTGAATAAACAAGCAAATTATAAGCAGCACTAGTGTTTATACCTAATATCTTTGCCGTTTATAAATTGAGTGGGCTGAATGTAATTAATTTTGATGTTGTCTGCTGATCAAAGGCTTCAGCCAAGCAAAATGGGCTGCAAAAGACATTTGTGATGCAAGCATGACCTCAGATGGGAAGCCCTAAGAACTTGTAGCCTAGAGGCTGACAGAGCAGCTGCTGGGCCCCAGCACCATGCTGACAATCCTGCAGAATGTCATCTCAGACTGCTGCCACCTGCTACTGTTTCTGCTAGTTGCCATTATATTTGTGCCTGCTACTATCTGGGCGTTCAAAAAGGTGAAACAAATACAGGTAAGATCAAATTCTTCAGTGGAAGTTGCTTAAATTTCTGGTCTTGGTTCTGATCGTGAAGAAGGGTAGAGGCTGTTACTAAATACTTGATATGACAGGCTATTGTCATATGCTTTGTTTACTTCAATTCACAAAGATTCATAATAGCTCTTTAGGAGTTTTAAGGGAGAAGTGGCTCTTAAACCTCAGCTATAACTTCCCAGATCATTATCTATCTGACAGAAAGCAAAGGCTTATTTCATGAGACTATGTATCTGTTTTATGAATATAGTAGAGTCTCTTTTCATCATGTTTGATGACTGGGTCTGGAACATATTAACCAATTATTAGAAATATTTTGTGTTATGTAAAGTTGTGGAATTATTTGGGAAGCGGTGGGAAAGAGAGAGAAAGAGAGAGCTTGGTTCTATTGTTTTTGTGACAGTTTGTTTAGCTTTTTTTTAAAGTTGGGAATAATTTTACTACAATAAAAAAAGTCAAGAAGTGATATTTTTAAAAAGTATTCTATTCTCACATTTTTCTTGAGAAAAATATTTCTCTGCTCTGAGAAAAAGAAATCACAGGGAAAATTCATTTCATATTCCTTTGTGGAGGAAAGTATACCTTCATCTTTATTTGGATAAGGTCTTTTTGTGCCATCCACTCTTAACTTTTGCCCACATGACTATTGGTTTGGTTTACATCCTGCTTTTGTTTCATCTGGACTTATGATCAGAGAATGCCAGAATGATAACCGATTAAAGCAAATCAGTATGATTTCTGTCCTTGCTTCTTCCTTGCATATGAGCACCAGGCAAATCTGAGAAAGCCATTTTTATGGGGTTTTCCTCATTCTTAAAAGTAGTGTAGGAGACTGGTTTTCCCTGCAGTCATTATAATAGTCTTCCGTAATAAGGGATTATAGAAAATATGACTGTTTTTAAAGTCTACTATATATATGATTTCTGTTTGTTAAAATGAATCATATGTCTTTCAAAAATGGTGTCCAGAAGCCCAGATGTTGAAAAAGATGCCAACTTATAACAAAATAAACCTGGGAAACTTTGGCTAAGAAACAAGCTAAGATCATACACAATCTTTTTGTTTTACATTATTTTATTGGCCAGCTGGAGAGAAGGAGAATAAAAACCAATTGGCTCATAGTATTAATAATTTTGAGGTTTGCAAAAATGAATATAATTATAGGTCAAATTTAAACTGTTTTGTGAGGGACTTGAGAGGGAAAACACTGGTGATACAAAAGTAATCTTAGGTGACATATTTCTTAATTTACCATATAATCATACAGATAGAACGGATCCTGTAGACCAGGGGTGTCAAACTCCCGTTGACACAGCAGCATCACAAGACATATCGGGACTTTTTTTCCCTTCGCCAAACTGGGCATGGGCATGACCAGCGCATGACTCATCCGGCCCAGAGGCCGGGAGTTTGACAGCCCTGCTGTAGACCATCTAATCTAGCCCCATCCAGTGTTAGAACATCCACAACAAACGGATGTCTAATATCTGCTTTAAGAACATCAGTGATGGAAAAAATGATTCCTTTAAATAATTGTTTTCACTATTAAAGTTCTCAAAATGGACAAATTATAAGGTTCTTTTGATGTTCAGGCAAAACCTTCTCTTCTATTATTAAACTTGCTATTATTATATCTAATTGTACCCTTTGGAACAGAAAAGAACAATTCTTCATAGTTTCCTATAGAGCAATTCTTCTTATGTGTGTTCCTTTTCTTCTTTTTCTTCTACAGGCTCGCAACAAAAAGCAGAGCAAGTACAGAGTACCACAATGGATAGGTAAGTGATGCACACAATTTCACTTTCTCTTTCTTTTTAGTCCCATAGCACTGGGGTGCCTTGGCAATCCCAGCCAACATGCCCTTTGCTGTGAATTCTGAGAGTTGATGTCTACATATTTACCATGTATCAAGGGTGAGAAACATTGCTTGTAGTAATTGGGAGGTTGAGTCTTGGAACAGCAACCTTTCTTCTCTATTTCTCCTACTGCAGCATCCCTGGAAAAAATAAGTGTCACAAGCATAGATCCAGGGAGGACAAAGGGTATAAGCTCAGCCACAGAACAGAAGTAAGTAGTCCCACCTACTTGATATGTTCCTTAATAAGCCATTTGTATGTTCCAAAGAATAAGATTATTGCTGCCTAGAAACAGCACCTGTTGCACAACAATTCTGCTAAAGTTGTTTGGAAGGACATTTCAGACTCAGCTCTTATCTTCATAGTATTTATGATTTATGAGCTAGTACTGTTTACCTACCTAGCATACTTGCAGCTCCCAGCCCTGAAGACTCTAGGCAAACAGCTGGCACGAGTACCTGCTTACTCACTTGTAATCCCATTCTCCTCAATCTCTCCAGGGTGGGGGAGAGCAAAAAAAATCAGACACAGGACAATGTATACTAACTGACTATAATGTTAAACACATAACTGAAACAGAAAAGGTCATAAACATGAACCTTAATTGCAAAGTTATTTTTTTCTGTGCCATCATAACTTTGAACAATGACTGTATGAGGCTTTGAGTAAGGAATGTCTACCTATAATTAAGAAAAGCGTAAGGTAAAAAGTCATAAAAGATACAAGGATATGCATGATAGAGTTTCATGTCCAGTTTAGTTAATGATTTTTCCTTTGGATATGAACAGATGGTATTGCCAAAGAATGTGGCCTTTTCTTTGCTTACTTAACTGACATACTGTAGATACTTGCCAGGCACACCTAAGGAAATGTTCTATTTATGGCTTGGCCAAACATTGAATCAAAATTGTGGTACAATATAAAATATCTTAAAGGGATGCCGTGGCTCAGTGGCTAAGACCCTAAGCTTGTCGATCGAAAGGTCGGCAGTTCAGCGGTTCGAATCCCTAGTGCCCCATAACTGGGTGAGCTCCTGTTACTTGTTCCAGCTTCTGCCAACCTAGCAGTTCGGAAGCACGTAAAAAAATGCAAGTAGAAAAATAGGGACCACCTTTGGTGGGAAGGTAACAGCGTCCCGTGTGCCTTTGGCATTTAGTCATGCCGGCCAAATGACCATGGAAATGTCTTCAGACAGTGCTGGCTCTTTGGCTTTGAAACAGAGATGAGCACAGCCCCCTAGAGTTGGGAACGACTAGCACATATGTGCAAGGGGAACCTTTACCTTACCATAAGGTATCTTAAACAGTGAGACTTCAAGGGATCACAGAGGAAAGGGAAAGGCCAAGGTGTCAAGAGGAATTCTACTTAAGAGATTTTTTTCACACTTATTTAATTTATTTATTATTTAAATGTTATTTATTTATTATTTAAATTTTTATACCGCCCTTCTCCCGAGGGACTCAGGGCGGTGCACAGCCACAATAAACTACGTAAATCCATAAAATTTAAAAACAATTTAAAACATATTAAATAATTTGGCCCTATATTTAAAAACTAAAACACCCATTAAAATTCGTTATTAAGCCAGCCCAGCCTGTTGAAACAGTAAAGTCTTAAGGGCACGACGAAAGGTACTTAGGTCAGGGATCATACGAATCTCCGGGGGCAATTCATTCCAGAGGGCAGGTGCCCACACAGAGAAGGCTCTCCCCCTGGGGTTCGCCAGTCGACATTGTTTGACCGACAGCACCCTGAGGAGTCCCTCTCTGTGGGAGCTTATTGGCCAGTGGGAGGCTATCGGTGGCAGAAGGCGATCTCGTAAGTACCTAGGTCCTAAGTCATGGAGCGCTTTAAAGATGGAAAGATTGCAATACATTTTTTGATTTTTTTTCAAATATGCAGCCTTCCATATTTTATGAATTCTGGGAAGGAAACAGCAATTACAGAATAACAGGGGGGGCAAAGGAAAAGATAGCTGTAAAATAATTGTAATGAAGGGGAGCGAAATGAACTTTCTGAAAAAGATAAATGCTATTTATAAAAACAAATAAAAAATAAAATATCATAAGGGTGCCCTATTGCCATCTTAGCCCAAAAAATAATAGGGAAAGCCAACAAGAAGGTATTGGTTATAAGCATGTGATAGATTATTCCAGGGATGAAATCCAGCAGATTCTGGAGAACCGGTAGCAGAAATTTTGAGTAGTTTGGAGAACTGGCAAATACCACCTCTGGCTGGTCCCAGAGTGGGGTGGGAATGGAGATTTTGCAATATCCTTCCCCCAGGAATGGGGAGGGAATGGGGATTTTGCAGTATCCTTCCCCTGGCGTAGGGTGGGAATGGAAATTTTGCAGTATCCTTCCCCTGGAGTAGGGTGGGAATGGAGATTTTGCAGTATCCTTCCCCTGCCATGCCCACCAAGTCACACCACACCCACCAAGCCATGCCCACAGAACCGGTAGTAAAAAAACTTGGATTTCACCACTAGATTATTCCCCAATGTACATATGCCTCTCTCCCATTTTTGTCAGGTCCTGCAACAATTTGAGCCTCTATCGGACTCTGTGTGTTTTGGACAAGAAAATTGAGTACCTCACCTGGCAAATGCAACGTATCAGTAAACCGTAAGACCCTGATAGAACTTCTTGAAAGCAAAGACCTATGCAGGGAGGGGGTTAGGGTTAGGAGAGACACTTTCTACTAAGCAATGGAGTGTTTTTTAAATATAAAAGTAAGCTAAAGCTTTCTAAGTGAATAAGTAAATGGTGATGGAAAAAGTCGGAACAAGTAGCTGGATGTGTATTTCTGTTCAAGAAATTCAAAGTTCTGGACTGCATAACATTAGTAAAATTGCTTGAAACCTTCTTTTCAGCAGATAATGCTGTAGTCTTTTTAGCAGGCATATTCACATTCTTTTTTCTTTTTTTTTTTTGCTTTTGATTCTTATTAACATTTGGCACTGTGATAAAAAAAGCAAACGCACACTCTTCCAGCCAACCATAAAAAAGGCTTTCAGATATGTTAATTTAATGTAAACCTTAATAAAATATGTTAAGATAGCTCTTCCTTTAAAGAGTTAATCAAAAATCAAAATCAAAACAACATGTCCAATAAAAGTGTCCTATAGAGCTACAAGCTTTCCTAAAATATTTTTCATATTCAAACAATATGAAAAGCCTACTTCAGCTGAAACTAGAGCTATGCCTCATACCAACAAGTTGTACAACAGACTTCTACAGTATATCAAGTGGAAGCCAGTCCTAAATTTACCAATGAACAATACTGTATTCACTCTGTTGGAAGAAATGTCCATCTGGGTTCAGTTCCAAGTGGGGAGAAAGACACTGGAAACATGGAGGCTGCTTCAAATGATGGTTTAATGGTGAAGCAGAACCACCAAGCACATGTGATTCTGGGTAGCTGACTACATGGAGTGGAGAGTGAGATATATTTATAGCCTCTCTTGGGCCTTGCCCTAGAGTTTCCTGTTCCTGTGCAAGAAATGTATCCTATTGTTTGTCAGACTCCCAAGGGCTATGCAGAGGTCCAGCTTGGTCCAGCGACCAAGAAGAGGAATTACCGAGGGGTCATGCGCATGCCGTAAAATGTACTTACAGTTTCCGGCACGTACATGTGCACTGGCCAGCAAGTCTTCTGGTTACTGCCATGCATGTGCATGCACCAATCAGCTGCCCGGAGTGCATGCTCACACCAGAAAATGGAAGACCAGCTCTTCTCGGTTTCTGACAGTGGCGCACGCACAAAGACCAGCTGTTCATCACGTCTGCATGCGCACCAGAAACCTGTAAGAGGAACAGGCGACACCATGCATGCCAGGCAACATGGCTCTGCATGCCACTTCAGGCACGGGTGCCATAGGTTCGCCATCACGGTGCTAGAACATTGAGGCTGGAGGGGGAAATCAGAGAACGGGATCGTTTGTTTATTAATTGGTGTAATCTCACATACTGAAAGGAATGTTTATTTGAATGGCTGTCACTTTAGGCCAATTTATCCTCTTTTTATCCTCTTGTAAATGTCCATGTCCTGAGGGCTTTTTTATAGTTTTGACTGAGTTTTGATTGAGTTTTTATAGTTTTGATTGAGTTGCTGATATTTTCTAATGAGAGATGCATTTAGCCAGTTCAGCCCAAGTGTCAATATGGGCAGGAAAGGTTCTGGTTCTTTATTTGTGACCTGGGGTTTACTGAGATCAGGCATGGCCAAGGCTGGTGTGTGATGTGCATGGCATGAATGACGTAGAATAAGTCATGACTGATAAGGAAGTCACTTTCTTCCCATATTAGATATGGACAGCAAACACAAGGTCTATTGTAACTGATTTTAGTACCCATCCACAGTATATTCAAGGACCAGGAATGAAGCAAACAATAATTTTAATTAGGGTCCAAAAATTGGCTCCAAAAGTCCAAAAACTGAAGTACAACAACTGAAAAAAAATGCTCTCCCGGATAGCTTTACCCACCTCTCCCCATTTTCCAGTTTTTAAAGCAATACTGTATCACATAGATTACAGGCAGGGGTTCTGCAGGGAGAGTTTAAAATGTCAAGATGGTGGCCGCAACCATGTGATCAAAGCTCCACCCCCTTTTTAAAAAAAATTATCCCACCTTTTCATATACAACTCAAGGCGGCAAGCATGCTTAATGCTCTTTCCTCTTCCTATTTTCCCCACAAGACCCTTATGAGGGGAATTGGGCTGGGAGAGAGTGACTGGCCCAAAGTCACCCAGCCATTTTTAATGTGTCAGCTAGAGCAGGGGTCTCCAACCTTGGCAACTTTAAGACTTGTGGACTTCAACTCTGGGAGTCTTAAAGTTGCCAAGGTTCAAGATCCCTGAGCTAGAGGACTTCTGGCCTGTAAGTATTTGTATATACTGTTAATTGAGGTTCTCTGGACTTAAGATCACTATTGAATGCCTAGCTTTTGTGGCCTGAGGCAACTGCTTTCATGTACATAAAGCAGGGTCTGATCCTGACAGAGGAAGAGAATAGCATTTGGACTGTAAGTCCACTGCCTTCCCAATGACCCATCTTCAACATGCCCTGCCAAAAGTAGGGGATACAGTACACTTTAGCTGGAAGAAATATGGGTCTTTTCAATGTGGGAATGGTACCTATCAGCTTCACACCCCTCCATCCTCCCCAATGCTGGAGGTATCGGAAGCTAAGCTGATTAATTTACAGCTGAATACGTTCACCATCTTATTTGTAAAAACAATAAAGGCGGGATACAAATAAAAAAATGAATAAAAATAAAATAAATATATAGCAAGGGATGGGATGCTGTATAATTAAGCTTCATGAGAAATGGCTGCTCTGACCATTTTGTTTTTTGTTTTGTTTTGTTTTCCTGCCTCCCATCCCATTTTTAGAATCTCACGCTCTGCATCCAACACCACTTTGAATTCCATCACCTCTCTGTACAGCTGGGCCCATTCATCAACCAGAGATGTCTGCCATAGCCGGTCTAGAACACCTCCCTCCCTAGTCCCTATTGCTTCACAAGAAATTCCAGTGTGGCAGGGGCATGTCACCAGACCCTACAAGACTGGTTTCCAGAAGTCACACCAAAGATCATCTTCTTATCCCCCAATGGACTTCCAGCGGCACCAGAAGCAAAAGCAGCGGAGAAGAAGTACTCCAACATCTGAATCTCTGACCAAACTGACGCCAAGGGTTCCTTCAACAGTCAGAAGCAGCCCTGTCCACATTCAGAGATTTGGAGGCAGGATTTATTTTCTGGACTACAAAGAGCAGGAGCTGCTTGACTGGCACATCCACAAGAAACATTGGCAGAAGGAAGCACCACCATTACCCTGGCAAAAGGAAGCACCACCATTACATTGGGAGAAAGAAGCACCACCATTATATTGGGAGAAAGAAGCACCACCATTACGTTGGCAGAAGGAAGCATCACCATTACACTGGCAGAAGGAAGCACCACCATTCTATTGGCAGAAGGAAGCACCACCATTATATTGGCAAAAGGAAGAACCACCATTACAGTGGCAGAAAGAAGCACCGCCATTATATTGGCAGAAAGAAGCACCACCATTACAGTGGCAGAAGGAAGCACCACCATTACAGTGGCAGAAGGAAGCATCACCATTTTCTCAGGTGCCCAGCAAAGAGACCAATGTGCAGGCTGGCATCACCCCACAAAATGAGATGGTACAATGGGTAAAGCAGCAGGTCTCCATGGGTCAAAGGTCACGTAGCCACACACCTCCTTCAACTAGCCCCAAACGTCGTCAAACTCCCCACAAGCCTCCACCTGTCAGGGTAAGAAGCCCCGGACCCCACAGTCAGACTCCTGTACCTTCTTCCAAAGATTTGCTGCCTCCCCCATTCATTATCTGTCAGACTACTAGCCACAGCAATCTCAAGGCACCAACCAATGTGCAGATTGGCATCACCCCACAAAATGAGGTGGTGCATTGGGTAGGTCAGGAGCGCTCCATGGGTCAAAGGTCACGTAGCCGCACCCCTCCTTCAACTAGCCCCAAAGTTCGTCAAACTCCACCCAAACTTCCACCTGTCAGGGCAAGAAGCCCCGGACCCCGCACTCAGACTCCTGTACCTTCTTCCAAAGATTTGCTGCCTCCCCCATTCATCATCTGTCAGACTACTAGCCACAGCAGTCTCAAGGTACCAACAGATGGAAATCTGAATAGTGTGACCCCCGAGGAGGAGTTAACAGAGGTACTTAACCTGTTAGCACAAAACCAGAGCCTTTTGACAAAGCAGCCTGGAAGACCCAAAACTCCCAAGAAAAAGGAGAAAGACGTTCATAGCAAAAAAACAAGTACCTCCAAGGAAAGCGCAGGAAGATCAGGCAGTCCCAAGGGCAAGCCAGCAGAGACTCAGATCAGCCTGATGCTTGACCGAAAGACACACCGATTGAGCTGGGCTGATGACATGACAGAAGCCCCCCAAGAGAATGGAGACCTTCCTAGCTTTGCTCGGACATCATTCTTAGACCCTACTTTCATGTGCCAGAACCAACTGGAATTGCCTTGCGTTCACAAAGCACAAATAGAACTGCATCAGGAAAGTTTCAAACTTGCAAAGAGCCTTCCCAAGTCTCAGTGTCTGGCCCATGCCATTGTGGAATCATTAGATACAGAGCAAGCTACACGGGATCTACATATGTGCCTGGCTAAAGGTCTGGAGAATGGGGGTAGCCAGCCAAGTGTAGAATATCCTGTTTGCTTGTTATGTGGCCGCTGCGCTCCTTATTGCCCGCATCCCCATCCACAGCACGGCCCTTGCCTCCTTGTCTATCCACGGCTAACTGTACAGGAGGGGGAGGTTTACATGAACTTGGGCTTCCTCCTTAAGATCAAGAGGCATGAGGCCAGCAAATGGGGCCTGGTGCAAGGAAAGGATGCATCAAAGTTGCAACACAGTAAAGAACATCCCTCCAAGCAAGAGAGGAGTCAAAGCAGGAGCCGGAGCCGGAGCAGAAGCAGGAATGCCCATGAAGCAGCACCTCCATCATGGGCCCCAGAGAGGCCATCTCACCAAGCCAGGCAGAGATCTACAGAGGCAATTGACCTGAGAGCGAGACGGCACAGGGCTGGTTCCAGGCCATCCAGAGCAACAACACCCAGATCCTCTCCACGTTCACCTAAAATGGAGTCCCAGCCACGAATTCGAAAGTCAGCCCCAGAGGCAAACCAACCCAAATCCCCACAGAAGCCTCCCAACATCCTGAAAAGGTTCTTGTTATGCATCAGGAAAGTTTGGGCGAAGGTGCGGAGGAGGAAAGAACCCACTTCCACAAAGCGGAGCTCTAGGGCATCCCTCCAGAAATCAGCTTCTTCTCAAACTCTGGTGGTTCCTTCAGCTACTTCTGGTTTTCAAGCCAACGGCATTTTGAACCATAAGCAAGACTCTCTTCCTAAAGATGCACACTCAAAACAAGGACACTCCCATGGTCATAGAAAAGTAACCATGAAAGTCTCAGAACATGAAACATTTCACCCCCACAAGAAGGTTGATAGCTACTATGCAAAATCAGCTTCTTCTGGGGCACCAAAAAAACATTCCAGACATTCTGTCCCAAAACAATTACAAAGGAGCTCCCCCAGAGATAACATGTATTATTGAGGTCTCAATAAAGATGTGGCTTGCTGCCAATCTCTGGGGTCCCTCTCCAACAAGGATCTTCTTGTCACTCATCTCAACACTTAATGCTTAACACGGCAGGTCTGTGTTGTTTTTTTCCAGGCTGCAAATAAACTGGCTGGGCTTTTATATATTTCTCTATTTTGAGATACCACTTTTGCTCAATTCATGTGGCTTTCTCTGAGAAATTGTAGGGAAACGTAAAAATGCATCTAGCTAATTGTTCATCACCACAGATAGCACTATTCCAGAAAAAAACATCTGCTAGTTTTATGGATTGTAATTGTTGGTTTGGGAATCATGTGCTTGCCACAGCCAAGCAGAGAGGAAATCGGGGTCTAGGGAGCACAGAATGGAAGCATGTGGGACAAGAACATTGGTGGGGCAGATGGCAACATGATCAATGTTGCAGCCTTGGATCAAATTAAAAACTGGATGGACCAGTAAATCGCATTATTGGAGGAAACTACTTTGGCTAATTACTCATGCTTAGTTTGCTTGGGATACTGTATATGCAGAAAAATTAAAAAAGGGAGATAAAGAATAAATCCACAAAAAGACAAGAGAGTGCAACTCAATTTTGAGTGCATTTTATACTGGAATCAGAAGAAAAAATGGCAGTTATTTGTAAGTGTCCTTAGAAGTAATTGTATCCCAGTAGTTCTCTCTCTATGCCATCATCTTTCTCTTATGTCTTTTACTAGCATTAAATATTATGATTCCCCCATTCTGGCTATGAGGCTTTAGTATTATCTGCTTTGATTCACAATGTTTTGCACCCAATTATTTGTGCCTTTACCCTTGCAGCTTATGGCTGTGTTGGTTAATTATCTATTCAATTATCAAATTTATACATGTGATTCTCAACGTACAACTGATCATGTAATGGATTCAAAGTTCTGATTTCTCCCCCTTCCAACTGTATTTTGGGTGCTTGGCAGCATGCCTACGTTTACAGCCATTTTTAGGGCCCTGCAGTCACAACTACAATTTACAATGGTTTTGCTGCAAACCAGCTTTTACTTCCAATCTCAGGCAAAACTCGGCCGATGGCGAACAATAAATTTGCTTAATGACCGCAAAAAAGGTTGTAAAATTGGATTGGTCACATAGTGACCTGCTTTATGACCATTACAACCTTTGACAGAAATTTTGGCTTAATTGTGGTCATGTTGGAAGAAATTTCCCCAGTTCATTCCCAGCTGGGACACACCACAGACGCTGAGAAGAAATGGATGCAGAAACCAGCTGCCAGAAAGTGGAATTCTTTTAATGTAGGAAGGCAAGAAGGAAAAACAGCTGGAGAGTTCCTGGCTTACAAGCAGCTTGGAAGTGTGAATCTGAGCCCTTTATGCTTAATTCCCCTTTGAAGTTCCTGCAGCTTGATGAGTTGTAATGAGTTTCTGATTGCCCTGGGTTTTGTTTTCCTATTTTACTGGGTTAATCTTGGTCCCAGGTCTTTTGTTTTCCCTGTCCTTGGGGTTTAATCCTGTCAGGGGCAGGAAAAGGGACCTTTAGTTTTACCTTGGAGAGTTGCCTGATTCCCCTTATCTTAATGGCTTTACTTAAGTGGTCAGCCTTTAACATTCTTTAAGCAGGCTGCTCAGTTTTCCTTTCAGCTGGTGCTTCTTGGTTTTCTTAAAGGGGGAAGGGCTGTCTTGAGTCTCTTGGCACTATTTTCTGAAGTTTCTGGTGCTGTGAGGTTTCTGACACTGTCCTTTTGGGGTGTACTTCCCAGAGTCACATTGAGGACTATCTATATATACTGTAGTAGCTGCCCATCACGAAGAATGACTTTGGGCAGCATACGTCAATAAAAAAAGATTACACATGGATCTTACAGAAGACTTACAGAATAACAGAGCTGGAAGGGATCTTGTAGGTCATCTAGTCTAACCTGCTCAATCAGGAGATCCTATACCATTTCTGACAAGTGGTTGGCATATCTCTTCTTGAAAGCTTCCAGTGATGAAGCACCCACAACTTCTGACAGCAAAGCTGTTCCATTGGTTGATTGTTCTTACTGTCAGAAAATTTCTCCTTATTTCTAAATTGAATCTCTCGATCAGTTTCCAACCATTGTTCCTTGTCTGGCCTTCCAGTGCTTTGGAAAATAGGTTGTCCCTCTTCTGTCTGTCTATATACTATCCAGATTATTTAATCAGCCAAAGAAATAAGGAATTCTTCCCTAGTGAAATTCTAGTGCTTTTGTTGACTTTCCTCAGGCTCTGCTCACCATTTTTCCTGGGACGAGGGGTAAATATTAAACACGAAAAATCTGATTCCTTTCTGTATTAAATGAACTTCTATAGAAGAGGCTTGTCCCAGATGTACCCACCCCCATTGTCTAATAGAGGCTTATTGCAACCACTTATTAAAGCCGAATGTCTTTAACCAATTTCTTTCCATCAGCTAACAAATACTTTTCTTCATGGCCTTACTTTTTATTAGGATTGCAACCTTCTTTACAAAAAGGCAGTCTTTTATTCCATCATGTTTTTCCTATCACTGTATTTTATCTAACACTCTTTTCTAATGACAGTTTATTAGCATTGCAAGTGAGGTAATGCAGGCAGTCCTTGACTTAGGAGCACAATTGAGCCCAAAATTTCTGTTGCTAAGTGAGAAATTGGTTAAAGTATTTTTGCCCCATTTTACAATCTTTCTTATCCCAGTTGTTAAATGAATCACTGCAGCTGTTAAGTTAGTAACACAGTTAAGTAAATCTGGCTTCTCCATTGATTTGCTTATCAGAAAGATACAAAAGGTGATCACCTGACCTTGGATCACTGCAACCATCATAAATATGAGTCAGTTGCCAAGCATCTGAATTTTGATCATGTGAACACAATATCCTGCAATGGTATCTGTGAAAAATGGTCCTATGTCACTTTTTTCCAGTGCTGTTGTAACTTCGAACAGTCACTAAACAAACTGTTGTAAGTCAAGGTCTACCTGTTGTTGGAAGAAAAATCAATTTTTCTTGCCATTTCCAAGCCAGGAATAAAATGGAGGCTGATTGGAAAGATTGTTTATTGATGAACTGGGGCAGCTGACCAAATGGAGTTGAGTGTGGGTAGGTTTTTATACCTTCTTGATTCCGATGGGGTCACAGTAGGCGTCATGGCTGGCTCTATAGGCAAAGGGGGAAATGCAAATCCTAGGTGTTTGTCTGAGCTAATCTTGTCAACCTTTGGGTTCCCTAATTTTGTGGCTTATCTGGAGTCCCTATCTGACCCAGTTTTTCTGAATGGATTACCAAAACTGCATTTCTAAAAGCTGGCCACCTCAGTTTCTCCTTGGGGCAGGGAGACTGGGGCTGATTTTTCCACATTTCTCCTTTAGGGGAAATATTCTATCCTGCCTTTTATTAATATCCCCCAAAATATTTCATTCTGTAGGAGGGTGGGTGGGTGCTGAGTTAAACACGAGGTAAATATGAATATTTGGTGAGTCACTATTTAACCAATACACACGGAAATGAACTTACTAGCAAGCAAGCAATAAAAAAGGTAGCATTTCTGTTTTCTTAATGTCTGTCAAATCAGCTAAGAGCCGACTGCCGCTAAGTGTAATGAGGTAAGCCAATTGGCTGGCTTGCTCCCTATTCAGTTAGTCTGTTGCCATTCAGCATGGCTACCACACACTGAAGTAGTGCACAAGGCTATAGACAACTGATTTCGGAATAATTTATGCAACTGAATTTGAAGACCGAAAGCTAATATCCAAAATATATATTTACTGTCCTTATTACTATAACGACAGTATACGGCTCCATTCAGCTTTAATAGGCTGGGGAAATACATGCGAAAGCCTAGCTCCTTACCTCTCCTCTGAGCGAGCTAGCCTAGGCATTGGCTAGCAACTTAGCCAATTATCGTTAAGGAACGGAGGAACCGACCAATAGGAAATAGAAGGAGCTAAGGCGCGCGCGGGAGCAAATTCGAACGGCGCCAGTCAGTGTCTGAAGTCGATCAGGGTCGATTCACGGTGGGATATTTCTTTTTGCTCGCCGCTCTCCCTCCTGACTGAGGTAACGTACGGAGGGATGATCAAGAGATCGGCTTTTTAGGTATCGGGGAAAGGGAGACGGGGATTGGAACAAAGGAAACGGGCAGGGGAAGAGAAATGGTGAGAACGACTTCGGAGTAGGCACTACTTCCTTGTGTTTCCATGGGGCTTGAAGTAAGGCGATCGGGGCTGCAAAAAAATCCGGATGAATCGCTGGGTGGGAACGAAGAACCCGCTCTGCCGTTTTGTGGCTCTGTAATGGCCGTCCGGATTTTTGCAGCCCTGAACAATCTCCTTGGAAAAAGCGAGAAGAGATCTCAGGAGTTCTGAAGCCCGGTCAGAGAAACCAGATTTCTTAAAAGAATCTTCACCTTCCTTGCTTTTTCCTCGTGGCTTTGATTTTGCTTCCTAGAAAAAGTCAGGAAGAGGAAATTTCGGTCAAATTTCTCAGTAAGCCAACCTCCCTGCCTTAAAAAAAAATGAGGCTGTGAGGTGGGGGTGGTGGGGAAATGTAGGCTGGACAGAGGCTTAGGCAGGGTGGTGAATATCTTTTGACATCCTAAATTAGGCCCTAAGCACCTCTTGCCTGCAATCTTATTCTCCATTATTAATTCTGCAGCATGACATGAATATACACTCAGCTCTGATTTTGCTTAGGATAGAAATACTGGGTATATTAGGTGAGTGGGTAGTAGACTGGAAAAAAAATAGGACTTTTCAGGGGTTTTCATGAGAATTCTGATTTCTTGGTTCTTCTCACTCAGCAATGGCTTTAGATGTTTTCGATTCCTGCTGCTCCCACTGTCCTCAGCCACAGCTATGACAGCTAGGAAATATAGAGTGTTATTGTGCAAGGTTCAAAATACAGAGTGCCTTCTTACTAGTCCTCGAAATTTACAGACAGATGTCATATTCAAACCTATCTTGAATGTTGAAAGTCAGTGCTCTGCCCAAAAGCTACAGTTTAGCATATATTGAATGGAACATATATTGAATGTCTATAATGTTTGAAGTTTTTTCTTTGGAGTCAGGTTATTGGTTTATTTAATGATACTGGCTTCTCCCTAGACATTTTTCACCATCTGTAGCAATGCCAGAGATTAAAGCTGAAATTTTATGCTTGCAGAGCAGGTATTTACCATCGAAATTTGTTTTGGCATGCCTATATTTAACCAAGTATGTTGAAACCGCTATTAGAATACATCAAATTAACTGCTACTCTGTAGGTGAAGGCAGTATAAATTGGCATAAGAAAAAGGCAAGCAAGGACAAGTGAGAGATGCAGACTCTTGTGCCAGCTTTGTTAATTTTAAATCTCCTAATGAAAAACTGCACTTTTTAAAACATACATTTGTAATTTACAGGCTCTTTACTCAGGTTATGGCAGGTGTTACTCCAAGAAAAAGAAAACGCTGTTATAATAGGTGAGTTTTAAAAGCCAGTTATAAGAATATTGTATTTTACTTATTTTATTTATACCTACTATAATCAATCCTCATCAATTAACACAATATAAATGAAAATAATTTAAAATATCCACAATAGGCATAAAAATTAAATAATAAAACAACAACACAAAGATAAAACAATTCAAAAATAGAAGCAGACATGACTGAATCTGTTTGAATGCCTTCTGGAACAGTTCTGTTTTTCATCTTCCTGAATGCCCACTTGAACAGGAGACTGTTCCAGAGAAATTCTTAAACTTCTTGTTACTACTAGAAGTATTTTAAAATAAACTTTATATATCTGTGTGTGTGTGTTTCAATTTATTTTGGAAAGCTACAAATCAGAATTGTAGTATATGAAGTTATCTGCTGTTAAGTACATAAAGTACATTAAGTACCTCTCCTGCGCGAGCTGCACTGGCTCCCGGTGGTCTTCCGGGTGCGCTTCAAGGTGTTGGTGACCACATTTAAAGCGCTCCATGGCTTAGGGCCGGGGTATTTATGAGACCGCCTTCTGCCACCAATAGCCTCCCACCGGCCAGTACGCTCGCACAGAGTGGGCCTCCTCAGGGTGCCGTCCGCCAGACAATGTCGGCTGGCGACCCCCAGGGGGAGAGCCTTCTCTGTGACGGCGCCCACCCTCTGGAACAACCTTCCCCCAGAGTTACGGATAATAACAGACCTCCGGATTTTTCGTCGGGCCCTGAAAACTTATTTATTTCAACTAGCTGGGCTGGCTTGAGCTAAATTTTAAATTGATTTTAAATTGGGTTGTTTTAATTACGGCCAAAATATTTAATTATTTTAATACTGTTTTTAAATTTTGTATGCTCTGTTTTTACTTAGGCTGTGCACCGCCCTGAGTCCTATTGGAGAAGGGCGGTATAGAAATTTAATTAAATAAATAAATAAAGCACATTAAACTGTGATAGATTCTTCCTCATATTTAATATTTTATTGTCCAATTTAAGAAGGCAAAAATTGACCTAAATTTACATTTCCTGTTGAAAGGAACAATGTTCCTCAGACCCAGTGAAGTTTTTAATTCAAATTCAGTTTTAAAAAAGAATACATTCAATAGAAGTTTTGTTTTAATGTCATAGATTCTAATTTTTTTAAGTAACAAGTATTATTTTTAAGCTATAATACAGTATGGCTGCTGAATTAGTTCTGAGATGGGTAAAGAGTAAATGTGTACTTTTTATAGTTTACAGCTGGTAAATGAGACTCCAGCAAAAAGATTGAGGATGGAAGTCACTGAAGAAGCATCTCCAACAAGAAAACCTTCTAGTTTCCAAGATAAAAAAACTCAGAACTTGCTCAAAAATTCAACCAGCTTGGAGGAACTTAATACTTCACCATTGCAGACAGCAGATGTACCAAAAGTAAAATCAAATGCATTCCCACAGAGAACATCTCCAGTGTCTGGCACGACATATAATTCCACTGTGCCAATCAATTCCTTTTACAGTAAAGTAAATACATTTCAAAGTATACTGGAAAGAAAACAAGCAAAGGAATCTCATGTAAATTCCAGAAATGATTATGCAAATTTACCTATTGCTAACAAGACAGAAGTGGTACAGGCCAAGTTGCAACATCTTAAGACTTCCAAACGCTCAGCTGTTTCCAAGCAGGCCAAGACCTCAAGAAATACCAAAAAAGCTAAAATAGAAATGGCTGTACCTAAGCTCAAGGGGAAGGAGAATAAAAATTATGCTGTAGAAAAGAAAACAGAAGGTCCTTCTAGAGTTCTAACCATGAAGTTCAAACCTATGTTAAAACTCCAGACAGGGGCAGCATTTTTTGCCACTGGAAAGAGGGGGAACTGTGACTCTAAGAAGGTGTTTTCACCCCGAAGATCTCTCCAATTTATTAACAATACCACAGAAAGCAAGAAGCAGGACAATCTCCTCACAAATACCAAAACACGCTTATCTTCTGAAAGCAAAGCAGCTAAAACTGGCAGGGAAGAAAACCAAGCAGATGTATCCCCAAAAGAAAATCTTGATATTGAGGATAAGAAGACATGTAATAAAAATCATATTAAGGGCCCTTTGGGTGAAGTGAAATCATTACCAAATTCTAGGCTTCCTCAGATTCCTCACTCTGGTTCTTTGGAGTCCCCAGCTCAGAAAGAAACTGATGCTGGGAAAGAGGTATGCATAATTTATGAACATTTATCTAGTAAGTTTGATTGAAAAGAGATTAAATTCCTTAATTCAGTGACTTTGATTTATAGTCCTGCATGTTCTGTCAAATTATCATAAAGATAGGGTTTGCTTCTTGAAGACCCTTGAAGGTTGTAACATGGATAAACAGACTGATTTATTTGGAAAGGTCATATAATTCGTAGCTTAACAAATATCTCAGGTTGTTAAGAATTTCAGAGTGTTTTGAAAGACCCCGCAGTCCTGCCTAAGCTCAGCCCTATCTTTATGCTAATTTGCCAGAACATGCAGGACTACAAATCAAAATATTTCATATATTTATTTTTAACACTAAGTGCTTTTATTTTAAGATGTGATGTGGCTAAACTCGGTTAACCAAATCAGGAATAATAAAATACACACAATTAACAAAAAACTATGTTAAAACTGACTAAAAAACAGATTCATTTATCAGAGCTATAGGAAATTAATCAGAATATTAAAGCTGGATAGATATCAGCTAGGTTAAACCTAGTATCATCATATGTAAGGTATGGCAAGTTTAGAAGTCCTCTGTTCTCCATGTACAGAATCTACTTTGAGGACATAGGAAATATTTCTAAGGGCCTTTAAACTGATGATTCAGTTTAAAGTTATTTTCAAACGGTGGATAAAAATCAATGATTTTTTTAAAATGGTTTTATTTAAATTGAATTTTTTTTATTTTTATCAAATTTATTTTAATAAAATGCTTTTGGAGTAAAATCTATCTAAAGATAGTTTTCTATTTAAGAAACATTAATAATTTAGTTTATTCAGCATGAAATGGAGCTTAGTTATGTAGCACGAGGCTGTATATGCTGCAATATTTACATTTTTTGATAAACTCATTCAACGAATCCAAGCTCTGATAACATGTACTGTATTGATGCATTTACAATTTCACAGTAACCCTGAGATAAATTATAAAACAAAGTTCAGGAATATTCCTTTATCCCATTGTTTTGCAAATCTATGTACACTACAATGTATGATTGTTTGAAGAGAAATGCATCTGTACCACCAGGCTCTAAGTGTGAGGAGGAAGGGCAAGCAGTAAAAATGAAAGTGAAACCTTCTAAGCAGCTTATAAATATAATATTAAAGAGCACCTGTCATTTCAGATCCATCATGGCAGTGCCTGTTAGCAGGCATTCACTCACCTGCTGCCTGCCACGTCCCTCACCTTATGTCACTGCCGCATCACCAGCCGGTCCATTAAAGTGAATGGGACTGTCAGTTAGTCAACAGCGGGTCGGAGGAGCCGCTGCAGGACAGTGATGACAGTTGCTCTTTAAAAATTATGATTTAAATCGATTTGATTTAAATCAAGCCTTTTTACTAGTAATTTAAATTGTGATTTAAATTGACTTGATTTAAATCAAATCCACCCTGTTTTCAAAAGTAATTATCTCACTAATATAGCAACTTGGATTATTATTAACAGACTGTTTTGGATTAAAAAAACAATTCTTTTTCTGGTTTCTGGTAACTTTTTTTTTTTTTTTGAAAGGCTTGACCTAGACTAGAGCAATATCTAAAACAATGGCTTCATTCATGTTCCTTTCAGCTCTTACATATTGCATCCATCACTATTAAGAATATTTGAACTTGCCCTCTTGTTAAATGAGTTAATTGTTATTTTTTATTATTAAACAATATTAGCTGGCTTCTCAGAGAAGCTGGAATAAACAGGACTGATTACTCTGTAAAATTAGCAGATAGAGAATTTTATTCAGCAATGTCCCATTCATGATCAAGCCATGAGTTCTTTTCTATTGGAAGCCATAAATACTATTTAAAAAGATGATTTTTTTTCAAACACAAATGACTTTCAGCCACCCAATTTTCATGGCTGATCCTTAGATTTTATCAGGATAACAGGAGATTAGGAAAATATACTTGCCTTAGGTAGGTTTGGCAAGTCCTTTAAAAAATTAAGTAAGCAGGGAAATAATCTACTTCCTCTGGCAACATTCTTTGTTCCTCCCTCATAGGAAAAACCATTAATCAAGCCAGCCACTTTAATCTATTAACTGTAGTCATAAGCTTGCATCTCTGTAACTATTATATGAACGTACTTCATGTTTTTCTCATTAACAATGGTTTTTCAGTATTAGGATATATATTTGCACCTATCAATACTCTTTATGTTTTCTATGGGGCTGCTTTGTTCTGTGGGATATTATATCTTGTACAACAACAAAAATTGTCAGGAAGATCTCACACAGGTTGAGTGAAAGCAACTTGCACTTGAAAGGAGATGCTGCTTTCCAGTTGTGAAAAAATGCAAGAAATGTCTTGATGTTATTAAAACTCAGGCTAAGTATTACCAAGGCATGTATTTGAACATATGCAAGTATTTCCCCAGCTCTTGTAACCTCTCTGCATCCTCTGATTAACATTTATAAAAAATACACTTTAAAGAAAGAAGTAAGCAAGATTAGATCTAACTGTTCTCACTACATACATAGATACAGTTTATACTTTTGTGATGTGAAAGAAATAGACTAAATCTTGGGACAATCTGTTATTAGTTATTAAATAATCTGTTATTAAATAATCTGAGAGTGCTTGTCCCATTATTGAATCCGCTTACTTAAGTACTGTCTTTTGTTAGGATAACCACTTAAAATATCAGTGATCCCCAATTACTCTTCTCTCCCCTTTCTCCATCCAAGAAAGATCAAAACAAAACATCTTATTTTCCTGATACTTTATTCCTGAAGTGATCATTTGGTTTTGAGTTATTCTAATTTGCTAAATTCCCCAAGAAGCATATAAAAATGGCCGTTAATTATCCAGCAAAGGAGACAGAACAACAGGTATTCCAATTCAGTTGGGTAATTTTCTCTCTCCAATTTATTTCAAAAGTTGTAAGATATTTTTCATAATTCCAAGCAGCAAAAGCTGCCCAGCTCTGCCCCATAAAGTATCGCCCCACCCTCTGTTTCTCTTTGTCAACCAGAAATCCTTTACAGCAGGGGTCTCCAAGCTTGGCAACTTTAAGACTTGTGGTCTTAAAGCTGGTTGAGGAATTCTGGGAATTGAAGTCCATAAGTCTTAAAGTTGCCAAACTTGGAGACCCCTTGCTTTACAGTTTTCCAAAGTTAAGCTGCATCTTATAGTAAGTTTTATTCATTTTATTGTACACTGCCCAGAGTCCCTTTTCGCAGGAGATGGGCAGGTCAAAAATGTGATAACTTGATAAGTAGATAAATAAAAATAAGTTCAAATGTTCATCCTGTTGCACTTGTACAGCTGTGTAAAGGGCATATTCATAATCCAATTTCCCTTTGTTGTGGCAAAACATTGTATTGTTAACATTTGTATTATTTTTCTGATTTCCTTGCCAAATCCTATCGATGCTTCATTAGTGAATCACTTCTTGAATTCCTTGCTTTTCCCACTATTCTTTGAACCTACTTTTTGTGTTTCTCCCATTGAATTGAATGTGTTATATCCCCAGTAGATTAATTCTTTAAAATTTCTGTGTAGGTGATAATTATAATTACTGAATAACACATGATCACTTAATGGCCTTTTATGACATTTGTCTCATTAATAATTTAATACATTGTACTGACTGTTTATTAATTATAGTTTAATTTTCCACTTCCAGTACCTGTATTTTCATAACCTGTAGGACTCAAGGTCCCAATAGAATTGGCACTGAGGGACACTTCAATTTGTATAAAAAACTTTTTTTTTTACAGGTTTTGGAAGAAAACTCAAAGAAACCATCTGACAGTACAAACAAATATAAGGTTACCTCTTCCAGTAAGTTATTTATAGGTGATCCTAATCTCCCATTGTTTACCAGTTGGTTTCCAGGTGCATTTCATGGTGCCAATTGCCACTTTTAAGGTCTGAGATATATATCAGGTTATCTGAGAGATCATTTTCTCCCAATCTGATCAGACAGAAGAGGGTCTTTCCAGGTCTTGTATATTATCTGGTGTGACCTTGGGAATGGATATTTTTAGCCATTGCCTTCAGACCTTGATATTCCTTTGGCAGGAAGACCTGGTTTCCTTCACTCCTAAATTTCAGGAGGGTAGTTGGTGTCTACATGCTCCATCTACTGCAGGAGAACTTGTTATAAGTGATAGTTGAAATCTAGCAGGCTTATGACTTTTGGTGGTCAAGCTATATTGATTCTCAAAAATAGCTTTAAGTTCTTCCTTTTGAGATCTGAAGCACACTATTATGAATAATGCAAATGGGTGGATATAAATTTTATTTTTTAATAAAAGAAATTATTTTTTTCCCAATATCAGTTTTGGCAGACAATGTCCATTCTTTGTTCAGAACATTTCCCAGCAACAAAAAAAGGTATGTCAGTTCTGTAATATTCTCAGTAATTATATAATGCAGATGAAGAATTTCCTATAGAGGTAAGCCCTTATGGCAATTGGGATTGGAATTTCCATCTGTAAGAGGTGTGGTCATATAGCATAATCACACTACTTAGCAGCAACAATCTCTGCAAGCTGCAGTTACCATTGTTAACTAAATTCCTAAGGTCATTGGGCAAGGCAGCTTCCATCTTCACACAAGCAAATCTGTGGGGAAGACAGCAAGAAGTAAGGACAACAGGCAGGTAAGCGTCTGAGGCTGAGTGGGGGAGGGAGGGAGGCAGTGCATGGGAGGTTTGGAGAAGGTTGAAAGGGATGCACAAGAGGTTGTGCAGGTTGGGAGGATGTGAAGGAGACATAGTGAGGATTGTGGAGATTGTACAGAGGTGGACGAGTAGTCAGCGCAGTGCAGTGCAAGCACAAAGAGTAGGGGAAATTTACCACAGTGACTTGCAACCTTCCCTGCCAGCGTCTCGATTGACTTTCTGGGGAAGAAGGCAAGGGAAGTTGCAAATGGTGATAGTGTGATTGCAGCTGGTTGCAAGCGCGAACCAGTTGCCAAGCATCCAAATCACAGTCATGTGATCTCGAGACTTGGATAGCCAGAACTCACATGATCATCCTTCATTCAGCACTTCATAATTTTGAACAGTCACTGAACAAATGATTGCAGGTCGAGGACTACCTATAGTCCTTTTATAAGCCAGAAAATCCAAGTTTTTCCGTACTCTCTCGGCCTTCCCCACCCTGCACAAAAACACTTCAGAGCTAACCTAAGCTCCAGCAGCTGTTATTGAAGTAACAACTTCTAAATTTCTTCTCCAAGATTATTTCTATGGCTCCCTACAATGTTACGGAAACTTTCTGCTATCATAAATTATACTGATCTTGAAATAATAAATAATGGCATTTTGCTACCTAATTAGCTATTGATTGCATCATGATTCAGGTTACCAAAAAGATTCTTTTGCTGAATATTATTGTCCTTGAGTAATCCTAATAGGCGAATTGTTACATCTGAAGAACTGTGTTTATGAATCAAGTTATGCTTCCATACTGAAGTTTAAGTTCATACAATCAGGAAAGCCTGCTTATTGGGGGCAAAACAAATGGAGCATTGTATTAATTATTATATCATTTGGTTTTGTTAATCACTCAAAATAGAGAGCAGTACTGTCTGCTAACATTGTATAGACATAGCACATCTGGGTTGTAAAATTATGGACAATTATTGGTTGATTGTAAAGAATTTCTGCTTAAAAGTAATATAAATATTTCAAACTATGCGAGAGAATAAAATATTGTTATTTATTAGATTAAAATGATACTTTGCCCATGTACTGACTATACTACAACCAATCAAAACATGCTAAAAAAATAAGATTGTAGGGCAGCTGTTAAGAGTTCTCTTCCTGCATTCTTATATGCCATTATATTAGTGTTAAACAAGAATTGAGGTGCCTATTGGAATTCCAATCAACTTGGTCCCTTGGCCACTGTACATATCAGCCTAAGCTGGCTCATGGGACACGTAAAAAATAAAGGAGAAGAAATAGCTACAGGAATGTTGTATAGGAAGTCCTCTTTTAACAACCACTCATTCAGCAAACGTTTAAAGTAATGACAGTGCTGAACAAGTGGTACTTATGTTCGGGCTTTGAAATTTTGGCTGTTGTAGCATCCCCAAATTCACATGACTGGCGCATACTTACAATGGTTGCAATGTCAGTAACATGATCACCGTTTGTGACCTTGCCAGCTTCCCATAAGCAAAGTCAATGGGAAAGCTGGCAGGAAAAGTTCCAAGTTGTTCCCAGTCTTGCTGTTTTTTTCTCCTGAAGATCCAGTCATGGAATATGAGATCCCACCTGCAGCATGTTGCCCTCCTGCACTCTATAGCGCACAACTGCCTGGTCATGCTTATACCACACTACAGTACCTTCCCGCACTGTGTAACAGCCCCTCCCCCTCCGCAGCCTACACACAGCAGCAGCCGCTTACCTGCCCATCAGCCGGCTTGCAAGCCACTTGGGACTTGCAGCTTCCTGGTGGCTTCCCCATTGACTTTGCTTATGAGAAGCCAGCAGGAAATGATCCTTGTTAAACGACCGACGATACTCACTTAACAATGGCAATATGGACTGGCAGGATTGCCATCATCAGGTGATGCAATAATGTGACATAGCACTTATGAACACATTAACAATGAAAATTACCATTAAGTAAGGGCTACCTGTATTTGAACTGAAGTTATAGAAGGATTACCCTAGAATTCAGGTTTACAGTCATTGACTTGAGCAAGTAAGCAATCTGTTATTTTCCTGTTACATTTGGATATTGATTTCTATTACCCTATTCAGCATTGACCAATATCAAGAGGTGAGAGTTGTAATCTAAAAGAGTGCAAGGTCTAGTGGGACTGATTTCTTAAATGTAGAAGTCCATGTTGCAGCATTTAAAATTAACATGGCTTCTGCTGGGAGAAAATTTGTTGACTCCTTGACCTCATAGCCCTAACGTTAGTCTTAAGAAATGAAATGTCTATATTTTATGAATCTTTATTGGTAAGGTGCAAATACTGTATCTTTGTTTCAGCCTACAGATTCTTCCAGATGAACAACCTTCATCACATGTAGAATTGAGTCCAGTAAGGCAGAAGTCTCCCTCCAAACTAAAAATCAACAAGAAGACAAAAGTACTGGCCAAAGGCTTGAAGGATCAAATGATCATTGTGAGTATACTTCTTGCAGCCATCATTTACAAAGCTTCAGACATGCCACATTTTCTTTCTGAATGTGCATATTAAAGTGCTAAATGGTCTCTCCTAATGTCTTAGAGTGAACAATATGACATATTAAACTACTCTGCCTTTACAGGACGCTGGTCAAAAACATATTGGTGCCACCATCTGCAAATCATGTGGCATGGTTTATTCAGTTGCCAACCCAGAGGATGAAGCACATCATGTCCAGTATCATCAAAGATTTATTGAGGGAATAAAATACACAGTAAGACAGAAGTTAGATATACCATAGACTCTGTTCTTTTTTTTATTATTATTCATAGCTAAATTTATTAATCTAAATCTGTTTTCCATATTCCTTTTGCCCTTTTTTGGTAGAGCTGGAAGAATGAGCATGTAGTTGCAGAGTTCTGGGATGGAAAAATTATCTTGATTCTACAGAATGATCCAAAATATATCATCAAAAAGGTGCTGCACTAGTGTTTTTCTAACCTTGATCCTTTTTTTTTGGGGGGGGGGTGTCTCAAAGTTACTTATCAGTTTTAGGGTTCTTTCATAATTCTTACATTTTGAGGGGGAAACATGCATACAGTACTCCCAAATGTTAAATAACTTTCAGCCCAAGTTAAATGTTCTTGTAATTTAAGAAATTACAAAAGGAAATATTCCCATTTTCTAATAATTTCTGCAATTATCTTTTATTACTAAATATATTGCATGGTTTTATGAATTTTTAAAAAGTTATAAACAAAATAGCTTGTGTTCAGTTTTTAGGAGCAACTTTCCAGTCACCTATTTTTGATGTTAAACAAAATATCCAGTGCTTTCCAAAAAATCTTGGTGGCCAAATAGAATTCCAGCAAAAAATGCACTTTTTATAATTCTATAACTAATTGTTGCTAGAAATGTTGCCTGTTGACACCAATCTGATTACGTAACTAAATTACTGTGGGTTTCTTTTTTATGTAGGCTGATGATATACGCAAACTTGTAGATAATGAACTTGGCTTTAAACATGTGGTACAGACTGATCCATCACAGACTAAAACATACTTGTTTGTATCCAATGAAAAAAAGATAGTTGGCTGCTTAATTGCTGAGCCAGTCAGACAGGTAAGCAATTTGTACTGTTGAATGAAAAATCTATGATTGAGAGAAATACATTGGTTCTGAAATGGATGGATAAGCTCAGAATTGTTCATATAGTGTTGACCAAATTCAGTGGTTTGAATCAGATCCTTTTAAATTGTTTTTATTTAATACATAACTTAAACCTTATTTAAAATAGAATCTTACAACATGAAATAACAATAAGGTGTTAATTATTTCAAATAAGAAACAGTATGCCTTGAATATTTAAGCTTGATTTGTAAAGTTTATATCTACAATACTCTCTCTCTCTCTCTCTCTCTCTCTCTCTCTCTCTCTCTCTCTCTCCCTCCCTCCCTCCCTCCCTCCCTCCCTCCCTCCCTCCCTCCCCCCCCTCTATCTCACATACACATACATTCAAAAACAATTGAAAGTTAAGGTGATGTATCTAAGGTAGCTTTTATGATCTTATGAATAGTAATGATGTATTACTATTGATACATCTGATACATACATTTGATACTGTTTTCAAGAAATTGATCTACCTAACATCTGGTAAAGGATGTCTTATTGGGCAAAGCTTTATTGCTTTTAATTTTCGGAATCTAACAATTAGTCCAGGAAGAAATAAAAGAACAACAGAATAATAGAGGGGACCTTGGTGGTCTTCTAGTCCAACCCCCTACTCAAATGTTACCCAGTAACATTTCAAACGGTTGTCTTCTTTAAAACCTCCAGTGTTCTGGAGCCACAGCTCCAGAACTTCTGGAGTTCATCTACTGATTAATTGTTCTGTCAGAAAATTTCTCCTTAGTTCTAGGTTAGTTCTCTCCTCTATTGCTACTTGTCCTGTCTTCAGGTGTTTTGGAAAATAATCATCTCTAAGTCCAGAAGAATGTTTCTTCTCTCTTCAAGAGATGGCTACAGCTTTTTCATCAATGTTGCAGCTACTTCTGGGTTGCCCTCATTTCTCTGGGAAATCAGGAGACCTGGGCACCTGATAGAAGAGAGTTTAAGAAATCTGATCCCTTGCTGTGATCAACATCTTTGAGTTTTATCTAACAGTATCAGTGAATAATAATGGGGCAAATAAATCTTTCCAATTTTAGTTCATCCATATTTGAGAGTTCTTTGGCAAAGAGGTAGGATTATCTTTCTAAGACAAATGCTCCTTATAGTAACTATCTTGTTGGAGGGGAGGTAGTATCTACTGATTTACTCTGTTGAAGTTAGTAAGAAAGGGTGTGCATGTTTTTGCAAGAATACAAGATCTCTTATTTTGGATTCTTGCATTACCCTCTGTTCCATGCGTGATAGGAAGAGAAAGGTGGTTGCTTAGTACCAAATTCACACCTTGGGTGGAGATTTGGAGACAGCTTATTCTAGGGTGAGCTGCTGCCTTATTGGCAATCACTTCAGTTTCCCTGAAATTTCTGAAGAGTCCGTTTCCCTCTCCCTTCTCCCTTCTCCCAAGGAGCATGACAATCCTAATCCAGATAGAGTGAGCCTTTTTTCAGTGCATGACTTCCTGCCATTCCTTTAAAATAGGTATCAAACTCGTGTCATCACGTGACATATCACAACTCTTTCTCCCTTTGCTAAAACGGGGGTGGGCGTGGCCAGCATGTGATGTGTCTGGCCCGCTGACCATGAGTTTGACACCTCTCCTTTTAAGAGTCTGCAAGGCACTGGGACATCTCCAGTGCTAGCAAAATTCTCCACCTGAGCTTCCTTCTCAGGAGCCTTTAACAAAATGATAGAATGAATGTGGACTCAACTTCAGAGTGTTGGACACCACTGGTGAAACAATCAAGGAGCAGGGAATTATCAGAGTTCGTGAAAGTTCATTCTTACCTAAAATTGGCATTCAGCACTGTGTGAACATGTTATAAAGATAATTTTTTGTAAGTTATGTGTAATTGTAGGTCAACTTGTAAAGAGTTAGGATACTTTGGTAGATGCAGCCCAACAAGTGCCATATCAAATTTGGGTGGCAAATATATTTTTTAAAGCCCGGTAAACCATCCTTTAATATCAATTAGGTACTGTTTAAGATAACTTTTCTTTTGTGCAGGCTTTCCGAGTGCTTTCAGAGCCCATAACAGTGGAGTCCCCTACTAAAAACAGCCTAGAGCATCAGCGTGCCTGGTGTTGCTCCACAAAGCCAGAAAAGGTCTACTGCGGGATTAGCCGAATCTGGGTGTTCAGCCTGATGCGGAGGAAGCACATTGCCAGCCGTTTGGTGGATGTGATGAGGTAAGGAAATAGTGCTGGGTCCGGTCTGAAGATTTTGTAACACAAAAAATATGACACAACCATCTTATTTTCAGATACAGCTTGTCCTCGAATTGAGCCCAAAATTTCTGTTGTTAAGTGGGACATTTGTTAGGTGAATTTTGTCCTGTTTTATGACCTTTCTTGCCCCAGTCGTTAAGTGAATCACTGCAGTTGTTAAGTTAGTGACAAGTTAAATGAATCTGGAACTTGTTAAATGAATCTGGCTTCCCCGTTGATTTTGCTTGTCAGAAGGTTGCAAAAGGTGATCATGTGACCATGAGGATGCTGCAACGGTCATAAGTGTGAAAAATGGTCCTAAGTCACTTTTTTCAATGCTGTCATAACTTTGAATTGTCACTAAACGAACTACTGTAAGTCGACTACTTGTACTCTTCTATTGGAAGATAGGTATTTTTCAGCTAATTATAGAGGGTATACATACACCAGGCTTGTCCAACTGGTGGCCCGCGGGCCGGATGCGTCACGCACAGACCACACCCATTCCAGCTCCACAAAGGCAAAAAAAGTCACGATATGTAATGTGATGCAATCGAGTTTGACACCCGTAGTATACACTCATGTTCAATGGAGCAAGAATCTGGTTTCCCCATTGACTTTTGCTTGTCGCAAAAGGGGAATCACATCACTCTGGGACCCTGCAACCGTCATAAATGTGGGTCAGTTATCAAGCATCCAAATGTAAATCACGTGATCATGGGGATGCAATGGTCGTAAGTATGAAAAATGGTCATAAGTCATTTTTTTCAGTGCGGTTGTAACTTTGAATGGTCACTAAATGAACTGTTGTAAGATGAGGACTACTTTTATTTCTTTTGTGAATGTTGTAATAGTTGATTGAAACTTTTATTAAATAAATATAGTAAACCTAGATAACTACAAAAGGACAAATTATATTCTTATTCTGCTTTGATACTTTTAATTTTTCTTCTAGGCAAACTTTTTTATTTGGCTGTTCCCTAAGCATCAATGAAATCGCCTTTTCAGATCCAACACCAGATGGAAAGCTATTTGCAGCAAAATATTGCAAAGTACCCAACTTCCTTGTTTATAATTTCATTAGCTAAGACTAGATTTGTACCACTGGGAGTTAATGAGCCCGTCTCTTTCACCAAGGGCTATTTTATAAAATGTGGTCAGTGCTGTTATTGCATTGTTTATTGCTTTAATGCGTTAATGTAAATTTGAGTTAGTAGCATACCAGGTGTGTATTTGGTATGTGAATTGTTTTTAAAGTTATTCTGAAAGTTAAATTCTGAAATTGATTGTAACATTTAAAAGGGGTTAAAAAAAAAAGAAGAAGTATGACTCTAGGTCTTTATTGGTACAACTTTCAGCATATTCTAGGAAATATACTCATTTCTTGTAGACTGATGACAGATTTAGTAAAAAAAAGCCCTCAGTGCTGAAACTGAATAAGCAGGGGTAGAAAATGTGTGTTAAGCTACATGTTCCTAAGCTAATTTCCAGCACTTTTTACCAATGATTATGCCAACTATGGCTGTTCAGTAATATCTGAAAGGCTGTAATTTTTATGGAGGAAATGTAGGAGGTAATGTAATGCTGCTATGAACTAATATTTTAAAATGATTTTTGCACCTGTTCATGGAAGCAAATTGCTGAAACTCGCTTTGAAAGTGTTAGAGGCGACTGCAGGTTGGGTAGACTGTCTGACAACTGCAATTCTTGCACTAAACAGTGTTGAACCAAGCCTGCTCAAATAAATATTTTTCTGTATTAAACATTCTTTGGTATGTATCTGCAATAGTGAATGTCTGCTTACAAAGTTTATATACTGTCCCAATATATCATCTCTGGTTAAGCATAAAAAGTGGACCTGCTAGTTCCACTTTTGAATCCTTTATGATCAAATGGGTTCTTCATACACATTTGATCATCAAATAAGCTGTCTGCTAGCACACCGTAAATGAAAGAATTGTGGAATCTATACATCCAAATCTTAACAAGTAGCCTCTGGTAAAAGTAAATCCTTCCATAAGTGGCCATCCCTTAGTTTATGGCATAATTTATTTGATTCATATAGCCAGACTGATTCTATAGGTACCCACGATAACACTCTGTTATTCAACTACACATACAGCCCAGGGGTGAAATGTAAAATTTGTTACTACTGGTTCTGTGGGCGTGGCTTGGGGATGGTGGTAATATGACTGGGTGAGCGTGGCCAAATTTTTTGGAAAAAAACAACAACTTCAAAGCATTTTTTCTACAACCTCTTCAGCCGAAGAGGTTGCAAAAAATGTTTGAAAACCCTCTGACGATCCTAGCTGAGCCGCGTGATCATCAGAGGCTTTTTTTAAAAAAACTTTTAAAAACATTTTTTCGGCGGAAGAGGTTGTAGAAAAAATGCTTTTAAAAGTAAAAAAAAAAAAAAAGGCCTTTAGTGTTTTTTCGGTAAAACTGGGGGGGGGGGGGGGAGTGGCCACAGGGATTTTTGCTACTGGTTCTACGAACCACCTGCCACCATCACTACCGGATCAGGCAATCCGGTCCGAACCGGGAGCATTTCACCCCTGATACAGCCCTTCTTTCAAAGCACTGCACTCAATCAGAGTTTTTGATCTAACGTCAGTGCAATTCTTTATTTGGGAAACAAGTTAAAATGAACTCTTTATTAACTGATGCTGTCAATGTAGACAATGCAATTCCCATTACACTAAGGAAACTTGAGTTCCTATATATATAGCAACTGTTCTTGCAAATTAGGGCATCTGTTGGAACCCTGACAGCTACATTTCAAAGATATAAACATTTCTGAATCTGTATGCTGTAACTACAAAAGGCAAGACCTTCCATTAGTCCAAGAATTTATCTCTACCTTAATTTCTCAGTAATTCCAATAAAGTCTGGTTTTGCCCTTCACACAGAATTTGGATTTATATAAGGATTGACTCAGCTATGTATTACAGCATCGTACGGTTTGCACATAAACAAAAACGTGTATTTTGGATGCTTTGGTTCATATATAGGATGAAATGAAACAGTTTTGTTCTGGATACAGACCAAAACACTGTTCCAGGCATAAGTGAACTGGTGTGGGAGGTAAAAGAAAAAATTTAAGGGCCTTGGTGGCAGCTAAGAAAAGTCAAAAGAAAGGGAATGAAAGGCACTAGGAATATATTATTAGGAGCAGGACACCAGCACTATCTTACTTGCCCTGTGAAATCATTCCCGATTCTTCTGAATTCAGTTTGAGACCCGGATTAACAAAAGCATTCCAAGTTTTGTTCTGCTGTGCCAGCAAATCTGAAATGCAATCCAAATAATTGTTGGATTGCAGCCCCTGAAATACCACAAGAAATGTAGACCTTAGAAAATAACCCTAAGCATATTCCTCATTCCGCTCAACAGACCAAAACTGCTGCAAATGGTTAGGATCACTTTAAAAAGTTTTCAGTAATTTGGGCAATAGATAACATCGCTCAAAAGCAGTAATTTATTGCTGAGCATTTGGGGAAAAAAACATTTGACCTTTACATTATGTGTAGCCATTTTCTGAATGAACAGCAAATTCTCATGCTATGAATACTAGGTCTGAGTAACATTCAGTTGATGTAATTTACCTAGAACACAACAGAAGTTGGAGGACTTGATCACTTCCAACCAAATCATTTATATTAATACTAAATTAGTCATCCTTATCTACATGTTCTCAAAGCAGCTTATCAATAAGAAAACAAAAGGTACTGTTTGAAATAATTTATGTGACCTAAAAAAAATAATCTGGCAATTTTAAATAGTTTAAAACAGCCACTTAATCTTAAATACATTTGAACTCGAAACTAAGTATTGAATATTCTCATGTAACAAAACTACAAACATTTCTAGAAGAGTACGGAGAAGCTGCCATATGGTGCCGGAGTCAATTTGGGTTGGCTAATGTATGAACTCTTCCGACTCCAAAACATCCAAAATTTGTGCTGCTGCAGGACGGTGTCTTGGATCTTCCATAGTACACAAGGAGAAAAGCTCAACAGCTCTTTGATATGAAGGGCCCAACTCTTCCATATTGAGGGGTGGCCGGGTTCCAAGCACTGCATAATAGGCATCATCATCAAAGTCATCTTCATCAAAAGAAGCATCTAGAATTACATGAGAAATGGGTCAAAAGCCATTTTCAAGAAGCCATCACAAATTGCTAAGAGAAAATAATTATATTCAACATTCAAACTAGCCCAGAAACAGTACTGATTGCTGATTTCCTGGTGAGTGGTGTTTGGGTCTCCTCTTGATCAGAGAGCTCTCCTAAATTAAATTTACCGTATTTTTCAGACAATAAGACGCACTAAGATTTCGAAGAGGTAAGTAAAAAAAAAAAAATTTTTTTTTTTTGCCCTCCCCAGCCCCAAGGAGCACTCTGCAGGCCTCCCAAACCCTCTGCGCACCCTGTTTTTCACAAAAATGGGATGAGCAGGGCGGGGCTTCAGGAGGCCAAAAATGGCTGTATTCCGTGTATAAAATGCACCAACATTTCCACCCTCTTTTAGGGGAAAAAAGTGCCTCTTATGCTCCGAAAAATATGGTATATAGTTGCCCATTTCATTAAAGGCAACTCTGGGCGGCGCACAATAGATAAAAATTGAATATAAATATATGAAAATGTAATATTCTAACAATCCCAAATTCAGTCAAGTGGAGGGGAAATTTAAAAATGGCCCCCTCAACAATGGAGCCAATCTCGCCAAGTTTCCAGTTCTGTGGAAGCCCCACACCTAGTCACATAACCAAGTCTTGAGGGCCTTACAAAATTTCAAAAGGGATGCAGTCAATCTAATTTTAGGAGGAAGGATGTTCCATAAGGCGGGCATCTCCTGGGACCCACCAAATGTGGATCCCTGGTTGATGGTATCTATGCCATGCCTTCTTTGCAAAATCTGATGGGGCAAGCTGATGTATGTGGGGAAAGGTGGTCCTTCAGATAGCCTGGCCCCATGTCATGAAGAGTTTTAAAATTTAAAATTAGCGCCATGAATCAGACCTGGAGGCAAACTGACAACCAGTGTGGCTTGTAGAGCAGAGGTAAAACATGCACTGTTCTATGAGCTTTCTGTGCCAATGCATTCTGTACCGTTTGAAGCTTCTGTATGCTCTTCAAGAGCAGCCCCATGCAGAGCACATTGTAGTAGTCCAATCTTGAGATAACTGGGGAATAAGTGACTAAGTACATCCTGCTGATCCAGAAATGAGTGCTAGTTGGCACAAAGACAAAGCTGTGCAAAGGCCCTCCTACTTGTGACAGCCACCTGCTCTCATTAATCTTACAGGATTCTTGTGTAAGTAAAATGAAATTCAGATGGATAATCTTGAGCTTTTATCAAAAAAAGGCAATAAGTGCAAATCTGATTTTAATAGGAATCTTTCTGGACATTAAGAACAAGGTCCTCTTAAAGATGCTTTCACTTACTAAAGTAGTTGTCATGGACACAGAACTGGGTATTTCCCCATGTTCCTTCCAATTACATTCAGTTTCTAAGAGAACTTCCCTTTTTAGTCAAGTCCCAAAGGTGCTTTTCAAATGGCAACTGGAATTTCTTAGGGTTTTTTTCTTGAAAATTTCTAATCCAAGAAGTTTCTTTAGTTCTGACTGAATGATGGGGAATAAAAGAATTTATATTTTTTGCATCTGGTCATTATTACTCTGAAGATGGTTGTTAGCTGGGATTAATTGAAGCCACTTGAGGATTTATCTATACCCTCAGGGTCACTTGAATCAGAATACAAATGGATGCGAAACCATCTTGGGACTGCTGAAAGGACTCTTGTTGTAAACAAGAGATAAGTGGTGGAGATAGGTGTCATATTCCTCCCTTCTGTTGAGAAGGCTGTTCGATTTTAAAATACCGTAGATGGCCTGTTTGACCCCTCTTTTAAGCCAGTAGTCTTCTCTGCCTAGAATGTGGACTTTGCTGTCTTCAAAAAAGTGATCTTTGTGCTTTCAAATGCAGATGGAGTGCTGAATCTTGTCCTAATGGGACAAGCAGTCCATCTGCATCTGAAAGTATAAGGGTCATTTTTTTGAAGACAGCAAAGTCCACATTCTGGGCAGAGAAGACCACTGGTTTAAGAGAGGTAAACTGCTGACTCTTGTCCCAATGGGACAAGCAGTCCATCTGCATTTGAAGAGTGATAACAACCTGATTGCAAAGAATATAAATCCTTCTATTCCCCACCATCCAGTCAGAGCTGAAGAAGCTTCTCGGATGAGAAGTGAAATGTCTTCAAATAAAAACAAGAAAGTCTAGTTGCCTCTTGGAAAGGGACAACCATGACCTGGATGACTGAGAATCTCCATAGCCATTTACACGTTTATATTATTTTTGTTGTTATTATTCTTGATTGCCAAGTTGACAGAAAGGCAGACTATAAATTGTAGTAAATGAAACTTAAAATATTTTGGAAGACTACAGTATCATTTCCACATTTCCTTACATTCTTTTTAAAAAATTCAATGCTGGATTATACTTCTAACATATTTGGCCTAGGTCCAATGCCTGAAATCACCCCAAGATTTGGTTCAGCAGCTAACTTCAGCAAATTCACTGATTGAGCAATTTGAGCAGGTAGCTCTGTTGTCCCATTTCGTTTTTCCCTGAAGGTCAAATTGGCCACTTTTATATGGATATAAAAAGAAGGTTCTGCTAAATGTAACACATTCTGCATCCCACAACTTATGCATTTCACCTATTCCAATGATGTCATTGCTATGTGAATGCAGACCTGA